GTGGTACGCTCAGAGTAGAGGGTCGCTGAGTACTGCTCGCCGCCCGTACGTTGTTAGCACGGGTGTCCGGACTGGTCAGCCTTGCGGGACGCCTGGTCACACGGAGTCTCGCTGCTTCGCCAGTCTGAGCGACGCTTGGCGTACAGAGTTTGGCGACGACGCTGAGCTCCCCGACTGGGTGGAGCTGCTTAGGCAGAGGGTAGATATCTTTGCTCTTCACTATGATGCTATTCTCACTGCAATGTATGCATTGTCTACTAGTGCCGAGGGAGCCTGTCACCTACGTGTGCCGCCTGACCTCGTTATCCAGTCTGCTGCTCCAAGTGCCAGTGAGGCTGCTGCTCTAGGTGCTCGTGTGTCTCCTGCTCTAGGTGCTGGTGAGGCTGATGCTCTAGGCGCTCGTGAGTCTACTGCTTCAGGTGCTTGTGAGTCTGCGCGTTCAGGTACTACGGCTACTGAGGCACTGCACACCTTCACACTGGACTCAGGTGCTTCCCGCTGTTTCTTTCGCGACCGCACTGCCCTAGAGCAGCTCCCTAGACCGGTTGCTGTCTCCCTGGCTGACCCCTCCGGGGGTCCGGTCCTTGCGACCTCCACCACTGCCCTCCCTTGTCCTGCTGTCCCATCCGGCACACTGTCGGGCCTTTACCTCCCCTCGTTCTATACGAACTTGGTGGCGGGTTCTGCGCTCCAGGACGCGGGTGTTCAACAGTTCACCCCTGACTACGAGCGTGTGACACACTGCACGTGTGCCCAGACGGGTCCTCACCTGGCTACCTTTACTCGGCAGCCGGGGTCGGACTTGTACACACTGACCACTGAGTCCCCTCAGGTAGCGGCGTCTGCGTCTGCGTCAGGTCAGTTGTCGGCCCCCTGCTCGTGTCGCACCCTGTCACACCAGACCGTCCTCTGGCACCACCGCCTTGGTCACCCCTCAGTGCAGCGCCTTCGTGGCATGCACTCCCGGTACCTTGTCTCTGGTCTTCCCAGGGTTCTCCCTCCCCTCCCACCCTCGCCTCCTCCTCCCTGTCTTCCCTGTGTCGAGGGGCGGCAGCGCGCCACTCCTCACTCCTCCTCGTTCCCTCCTACAGAGGCTCCCCTGCAGACTCTCCACCTGGACGTGTGGGGCCCAGCCCGCGTCCGTGGACAGGGCCACGAGCGGTACTTCCTGCTGGTCGTTGACGACTACACGCGCTACACCACGGTCTTCCCCTTGCGCACCAAGGGTGAGGTCCCTGATGTTTTGATCCCCTGGATCCGCACTGCTCATCTCCAGCTCCGCAAGCGGTTCCATTCGGACTTTCCCATCCTGCGTCTGCACTCTGACAGGGGTGGTGAGTTTTCCTCCGACCTCTTGGCAGCGTACTGTGCGGAGCACGGCATCCGCCAGACGTTCACACTTCCGGCCTCTCCACAGCAGAATGGGGTTGCTGAGCGCCGCCGCATTGGCTTAGTCATGGAGGTCGCTCGTACCTCCATGATCCATGCGGCTGCCCCCCATTTCCTGTGGCCGTTTGCAGTGCAGTACGCTGCGCATCAGCTCAACCTCTGGCCCCGTGTCTCTGCTCCGGAGACCTCGCCCACACTGCGTTGGACGGGGAAGGTTGGCGATGCGTCGGTGTTCCGGGTCTTGGGATGTCGAGCCTTTGTCCGCGATACGTCCGCGGACAAGCTCTCCTCCCGTGCCATTCCCTGTGTCTTCCTTGGCTTTGTCCTTGACGCGCCTGGCTGGCAGTTTTACCACCCCACCTCGCGCCGTGTCCTGCCCTCTCAGGACGTCACGTTTGATGAGTCGGTCCCCTTTTACCGTCTCTTCCCCTACCGCACTGCCCCGCTCCCCCCTCCGCCGCTCTTCCTCACGCCAGGTGCTGCTTCGGTAGACCCCCTCCCTCCCCAGGGTCCTGCTCCCTCAGGTGTTTCCCAGGTTGACCCGGTCGAGCCTGTCGAGGTAGCTGTCGACTCTGGTCCTGCGCGAGGTACTGCGTCTGGGGGTGCTGAGACTGGGGGTGCTGAGTCTGGGGGTGCTGAGACTGGGGGTGCTGAGCCTGGGGGTGCTCAGACTGGGGGTGCTGAGCCTGGGGGTGCTGAGACTGGCAGTGCTGAGCCTGGGGGAGCTGAGACTGACTGTGCTGCGCCTGGTGGCGCTCCCTCTTCACAGCAGCTGCGTGAGTGGTACTCTCAGCGTTGCAGCCTCCAGCGTGGGGCTGCTGGAGCTGGGGGTTCTGCCGGAGTTGGAGCTGGTGGTGCTGCGGGTGCTGTGTCGCGGCCGGAGCCTCCCTCCCCACAGCGGCTGCGTGAGTGGTATGCTCGACGCTGCAGCCTCCGGAGCGGCGCTCCTAGCGCTGGGGTGCCGCCCGCTGGAGGCCCTGGTGGTGCTGGAGGCCCTGGTGGTGCTGGAGGTGCTGCTGGTGCTGGAGCTGCTGGAGGTATTGCTGGTGCTGGAGTTGGAGCTGGAGGTGCTGGAGCTGCTGGAGCTGCCGGTGGAGCTGAGGCCGCTGGGCCTACTGGAGTTGGTGTAGCTGCTGACCCTGGTGTTGGTGTTGCAGGGGCTGGAGCTGGAGGTGCTGACGCTCGTCCTCCTGCAGGTGCTGGAGCCGACGGTGCGGCTGGAGCTGGTGCTGCTAGGGGTACTGGAGTTGGCACTACTGGAGCTGCTGGTGGTGTTACCGGAGTTGGAGCTGCTGCTGGGGGTTCTGGTGCTGTCTCTGCTGGTTCTGGGGGCGCTTCACGGCCGCGGCCGTACTTCGTTCCGCTCCTTCAGCAGGTTCTTGGTCAGTCGCCTCCTCCTTGTCCTGCTCCCTCCTTAGAGTGTCCTCCGCCTGTCCAGTCGCAGTCACAGTTACAGCCTGCCTCGCCACTCCCTGGTCCTTCTCCCTACACTGGTCCGACAGGAGGTCTTACGGAGCGTCGCGAGCCTGCGTCTCGTCCTGTATCGCCTGAGTCTCGTTCTGCGTTGCCTGTTCGTGCTGCTCGCACTGGTCGTCGTGTCCCGCGTCAGCGTCCTCCTGCTGTCCCGGGCACTCACCAGATGACGCTTCGTCCTTCCACTGCTCCACAGCGTGTCCCTCTGCCTTCTCCTCCTGCGTCCTCCCTTCCTGCCCTTGCTGACCCGGAGTCTGACTCTCTTCGTGCTGCTAGCCCTACTGTCTCGCGTCTCCTGGCCATGGCTGTCACTGACCCTTCCTTTGAGTCTGCTGCTGCATCTGCCTTAGTCGCTAAACTTGTCGACTTTGCTGCTCACTGGCGTCTAGACTACGCTGCGAGTCTTGTTGCTGAGTCTGAGTCTGTCTGTCCTCCGTCCGTCGGGGGTGAGTGTGCTCTTGCCACGGACGTCCTTGAGGACAGGCAGGAGGAGTTTGAGTGCTTTGCCGCTGCTGTACCTCATCTCGTGTCCATGCTGATTGCACCTCAGGGAGACCCGGATGTACCAGACATCCCGACCCCGCGGTCTTACTCTGAGGCGATCGCGGGTGAGTACTCCTCTCAGTGGCAGTCAGCCATGGACGCAGAGATGGCATCCTGGAAGTCCACTGGCACTTACGTCGACGAGGTTCCCCCTCCTGGGGCGAACATCGTCAGTGGCATGTGGATTTTCAGGGTGAAGCGGCCGCCAGGTTCTCCGCCTGTCTTCAAGGCTCGTCGTTGCTCGAGGCTTCAGTTAGCGAGAGGGAGTAGACTTCTTCCAGTCCTTCTCCCCCACCCCGAAGATGACCACTTTTCGGGTGCTACTGCACGTTGCCGCTCAGCGTGACTACGAGCTTCACTCTCTTGACTTCTCCACAGCTTTCTTTCAGGGCAGCCTGCACGAGGAGATCTGGCTGCGCCGCCCTCCTGGCTTCACTGGGTCGTTTCCTGCAGGTACCCAGTGGAGCCTCCGGCGGCCGGTCTACGGTCTCCGCCAGGCGCCACGTGAGTGGCACGACACACTGAGGACTACACTTGCGGCTCTTGGGTTTGCGCCCTCTACTGCTGACCCGTCGCTGTTTCTGCGCACCGACACTTCGCTGCCGTCGTTCTACATCCTCGTGTATGTCGACGACTTGGTCTTTGCCACTGCTGACACTGAGGCTCTCGCCCACGTGAAGTCGGAGCTGCAGAAGAGACACACGTGCACAGACCTGGGTGAGGTGCGCAGCTACCTTGGCTTGCAGATCACCCGGGACAGAGCACGCCGCACCATCACACTGACTCAGTCACACATGGTGCAGCAGGTCCTTCAGCCCTTCGGCTTCACCTGGTCCTCGGCACAGGTCACTCCTCTGGCTACAGGTCACTCGCTCTCAGCTCCACCTTCGGACGAGTCCGTAGAGCCGAGTGGTCCTTACCCAGAGCTAGTTGGCTGCCTCATGTACCTGATGACTTGCACTCGTCCTGACCTCGCGTACCCTCTTGGCCTTCTGGCTCGCTACGTGGCTCCTGGTCGGCACCGAAAGGTGCACTGGGATGCTGCTAAGAGGGTACTCCGCTACTTGTGCAGTACATCAGGCATGGGGCTCGTGCTTGGAGGGAGGAGCTCAATTGTCCTCACTGGGCACTCAGACGCTTCTTGGGTTGACGACCAGGCTACTCAGCGGTCGTCACAGGGTTACACCTTCAGTCTTGGCTCTGGCTCTGTCTCTTGGCGTTCTACACGCTCGTCTTCAGTTCTTAGCTCCAGTTGTGAGGCTGAGATCTACGCCACAGCCATGGCTGCACAGAAGTTATGCTGGCTCACCTACCTGCTGACCGACCTGGGAGAGCGGCCTCGTTCTCCTCCAGTGCTGTACGTCGACAACAAGGCTGCCATTGCCTTGTGTGAGGAGCACAGAACGAAGCACATCGCTCTGCGTTACTTCCTGGCTCGAGAGTTGCAGCAGCGTGGTCAGCTTCGTCTGCGGTACGTGGCCACTCGGGCCAACACTGCTGATATATTCACCAAGGCACTTCAGTCTGGTGATCATCAGCGTTTCTGCACTGTGCTAGGGCTTGTGCCCACTTTTCCTCACTTGCTGTAGGTTATGATGCCTGCACGCTCAACAAGTTGTCCGCCTTTCCTCCCCCTTCCCTTGTCATTTCCAGCTCTTCCGCACGCTCTAGCGCACCCCATGTTTCCGCTGCTCTGCCGCTTCGTGCGGCATCTTTCCCTCAGCCCCTCCTCGTCCTGTTCCCCCCATCCCCGCAGCTTCCCCCTCCCATGGCTCCGCGCTCTACATCGTCCGCCTGCGCTCCGCACAGCCCGTCGCCTCGTACCGCGGGGGGATCCCTGGCTTCGCGGCAACGGCCACCTGGGACAACGACCCTAACAGCAACGCGCCAGGCACCGCCGCATCTGATGATGATGACGCCCACGGTGGCGTTGGCACGGCTTCCGCTGCTCCTGTCACTGCTGCTGCTGCTGCCACTAGCGGTTCAGGAGGGACCAGCCGTGTGCGGCGGCGGCTGCGGGTGAACGTGAGGGCGCCGGGCGTGAGGGCGTTCAAGCAGCTGCTGCAGCGCATGCAGCAGGCCGTGCTGAGAGACAGCGGGGTGACCGCGGGAAGATGGTGTACAGGTGAGGGGAAGATGGTGTATAGGTGAGGGGAGTGAGGGGGGCAGTGGGGTGCGCGCGGGGAAGACGGTCTACAGGTGAGCGTGAGAAGAATGTGGGGGGCTTGGACAAAAAAACAAGAATAGTGATAGCTGCTAGTGCACTTGTTTTTCCTGTTCCTACTGCTACTGCAGCACATGCGACAGGAAGTGGTGAAGAACAGAGGGCTTACCGTGGTTGGGAAGGTGAGCTGTGGCTATCGAGACATTTGTCCAGGGCCCAGCCGATTCAAAGGCGGATGCAGCAAGCTGTGGGAGCATGGCGGATGGGCTGACATCTCAGAAACCCATCTCAGAAATGGTCAAATCACCGCACTGCACCGCACCGCACCGCACTGAACCGACGGGTTGACGTACATACGTCATGACTGGGCTGCTTCCCTCCCAGGCACTCTCATGGCAAGACGGTTGGGTTCCCCTGCCCTCCCTGCCCTCCCTCCTTCCCCCCTTCTCAACAACGTGCATGTGTTGAATGGCTTTGCAGCGACCCTCACCCCTTCGTTTCCCCTACCCGCCCTCCCCTGCGCGCCTTCTCTCTTCTTCCCCTGCCCACCCTCCCTCCCTCCCCCCTTCTCAGCTACATGCACGCATCCAACGGCTTCGCAGCGACCCTCACGGCAGCGCAGGTGCAGCGCATGAGGCGGCACCCCTCCGTGGCGTCCGTCACGCCCTCTCGCACCATCACACGCCGCCGCGCCGTCACTGCCGCCGCCGACGGGCACAAGTCTCTCAACCTGCCCCACTCCCGTGCTGCTGCTGCTGCTGCCACTGCTGCTGCTGCTGCCACTCCTGCTGCTGCTGCCAAGTGATGGTGATGGCACGGTGATTGGGATTGTGGACAGCGGCGTGAGGCCGGAGCACCCTTCCTTTGACGATACGGTACGCTGAGACCCCTCACCTTATGAGCAGCTGCTGCTGCTATTACTGCTACCGCTGCTGCTGCTGCTGCTGCTGCTGTCGCTACTGCTGCTGCTGCTGCCGCCGCCGTCGCCGCCGCTGCTGCTGCTGCTGCTGCTGCCGGAGAGACTAGTAGTGGTGTTGTTGATTCTTCTGTTACCTCCTTCCTTCCTTTCACCATCCTTGATGACGTGTCCTCCCTCTCTCCCCACGCTCCTCCTTTTTCCACCTCGCCGCTCCCTCCCTTCTCCTCGTCCCTTCCTTCGCATCCCCCCTTTGGTTCCCTCTTTCCCATCCTTTCATCTCTGCCTCTCCGTCCCACCGCAACAGACGACTATCGTCACCAGCTTTTTTTCCAATCAATTGCCCCTCCACCCTCCTCGTCCCCACCAAGGCTACAGCAGCACGCTCCTTGCCGGGTGGGCGGGCACGTGTCCCACTACAAGCGACTTCGCATGCAACAACAAGATCATCGGAGGGGGGGTGTTTCGCGCGGGGTTTGAGAGCAGGTATAGCGACGGCCTCAACCTCACCCTCAACTGGCTGTCCCCACGGGATTCTGATGGCCATGGCACTTGGTGTGCCGGGTGAGTGCTGGGACGTGCTGTGCTTGCAGGGATGTGTGGTGAGCGTAGGGGTTTGAGAGCAGGTATAGAGACGGTCTTAGCCTCACTCGTGACTGGATGTCCCCGCGGGATTCTTATGGCCACGGCACTTGGTGTGCCGGGTGAGTGTAAGGATGTGCGGTGAGTGTAGCAGCGATGTGCGGTGAGTGTAAGGATGTACCGTGAGTGCAGGGACGTGTGGTGACATGTGTGGTGAGTGTATGCAGTAGCAGTATGCAGGCAGCAACAGCAGGCAAATAGCGGTAGCAGGAAGCAGCAGCAGCAGGCAAGTGGCAGCAGCAGGCAAGTGGCAGGAGCAGGCAAGCGGCAGCAGCAGGCAAGCGGCAGCAGCAGGCAAGCGGCAGCAGCAGGCAAGCGGCAGCAGCAGGCAAGCGGCAGCAGCAGGCAAGCGGCAGCAGGGGAAGTGCCAGTGGCGATGCCATGGCCTTGCATGGTATTGAGAATTCTCAAAAAACACACGCTGCATGGTATGGTGTGGTTTGCTTTGGGATTGCACAGCACGTGGCGTGTTAGATAATAGTTTGGCAGAGAGGGGGGAAGAAGAATATCCACGTGGTGTAACCAGGACACTCCGTCCCTTCATAGCCGCTCCTTCCATTCACTTCATACCCATGTTGCCCCACTCTCAGAGCGGCAGCGGGCAACAGCAGCGTGAGTCTGCCTGGCTGGGACACGGTCAGTGGCGTGGCTGCCAAGGCACGCCTGGCTGTCTACAAAGTGTTCTGGCGCATGCATAATTACGACATACGCGCTTCAGAAACAGACATCTTTGCTGCCGTTGATCGGGCCGTGGCAGACAGTGTGGATGTGCTGACCCTGTCGCTGGATGACTCGTATAGAGGCCGCGTTAGCGGCAACGGCAACGGCACCGAAGCCTTCTTTGAGGATTTGCCTTTCCTTGGCGCCCTTGCGGTGGGTGTGAGGGGTGCCCTTGCGGTGGGTGTGAGGGGCGTGCGGTGGGTGTGAGAGGCGTGTGGTGGGTGTGAGAGGCGTGCGGTGGGTGTGAGAGGCGTGTGGTGGGTGTGAGAGGCGTGTGGTGGGTGTGAGAGGCGTGTGGTGGGTGTGAGAGGCGTGCGGTGGGTGTGGTGTGGCTTAGCTGGTTGGCCCAAGCATGTTCTTGGATTCACGTGCATGCGAGTGCGGGGTTATTCCTTGAATGTGAATTCGCATGCAACTCACCGCTTTCTACCCTATCTCCCTCCCTCCCTCCCTCCCTCCCTCCCTCCCTCCCTCCCTCCCTCCCTCCCTCCCTCCCTCCCTACATCAAGCCGGGCTATTTGTAGATTTCGCAAACAACAACACCTGCCCGTCACCGACACCTGAGATTCAGCAATGTGAAACCTTTCAACCCTTTGCCCCTCTCAGTCCTCATTCTCGCCTCTTCTCCCCCCGTCTTTTCCCCCACTCCCTCCTTCAGGCCGGAGTGACTGTGGTCCTGGCAGTGGGCGACGGTGGAGAGGCCAAGTTCCATTACATGTATGGTGCTCTTGAGGCTATCGACAACATTGCACCCTTCTATGTCAGCGTGGGGGCAAGGTGAGAATGAGGAGCGCTCACTAAGAGTGGCAGAGGTTGCATTGCATCCCCATGCTCTCACGGAGGACGGCCACATGCATGCTGTGCTCTGCAACGAGTGACATGAGATGCTGTCACCCTCTACTGCTACATTCATGACACGCCATGAGTGCATGTGCACGCGTTGTCCTTGGCAGGCAAGGCAAGGTACCTGCTTGTTCTACACGCTGCAGCTTTGCGCTGCACGGATTTTTCCTCCTCTTTTTCTTCCCTTAAATCATGCGTTTTCCCATGCTCCCTTCCCTCGTCTTGCATCTCCTTCCCTCGTCTTGCATCTCCTTCCCTCGTCTTGCATCTCCTTCCCTCGTCTTGCATCTCCTTCCCTCGTCTTGCATCTCTCCCTCATCTTCCATCTCCTGCTGCCCTTCTCATGCTTACACACACCTTCCATGCCTCACCATGCAGTACGCTGTCTCAGGCTTCCCTCACCTCAACATCAACATCAGCAGCAGCAGCAGCAGCAGCAGCAGCAGCAGCAGCAGCAGCAGCAGCAGCAGCAGCAGCAGCAGCAGCAGCAGCAGCAGCAGCAGCAGCAGCAGCAGCAGCAGCAGCAGCGGTAGAATCTCCTGCAAACACCACAGGCCCAGCAGCATCAACACTGCTGGGAGCCCGACTCCCTGCCACCATCTCCCCTGCAGACACCGCCCTCCCCATGGTTCCCACCTGGTCCTCCACCGGCCCTCTCACCAAACCCGGCTGTTCGTTATGCCGACCATTGAAGCTCCTCCGCCGCTCCAACGCCATTGTCAAGCCAGACATCATCGCCCCGGGAGCCGGCATCCTTGCAGCTGAGCCCGGGCAAACGGTCGGCGAGACGGGGTCGTTTAGGGTTTATGGTGAGGAAACTGCCATCTCTGCGGCGCTTGTTGCTGGTGTGGCTGCTCTGATCGTGCAGCAGCATCCTGATTGGTCGCCCGCGCAGGTCATGTCTGCAATGATGACGACAGCTGGCCGCACTGATAGCAACAACAAAGTGATTCGGAATGTGAATGGGGAACCGGCAACGCCGTGGCAGATGGGAGCGGGGCATGTGTTTCCCGCTAGGGCGTTTGACCCCGGGCTGACCTACGATGCCGGGGAGCAAGATTTTCAGAATTTCCTTGCTGGGCTGAACATGAAGCTGGCTCGGAGGGTGTTCGGGCCGGTGCAGCTGACACCCGTTGCACCCAGGCACCTGAACCGGCCTTCTATCTCGCTGGTCAACATAATCACTAAACTCACCGCTAGGCGGACTGTGACGAGTGTTTCAAACACCACATCGACCTACAGGGTGAGGGTTAACGCCCCTGAGGCAGTGAGAGTGAGGGTGGTGCCATCGCAGTTTACCATAGCGCCGGGGCAACGGGTCAGTTTCAAGGTGAAGGTTGTGGTGAGGAGCAAGTTCAAAAGGTTCAAGTACGGCAGCCTCACATGGGAGGATGACAAGGGGCACTCTGTGCGCTCAGTCCTTGTTCTCCATTGCAAACGTACTTGCATGTACTATTGCTAGATCATTAAGTTGTGTCAATCAGAGGTGCACCGTGCAAGCATAATGTATTTCTATTACATACTGCTCAAATCTGAGGGCACCAGTACATTCCCACAAGTTACGCTTTGATTGGCGCGTTCCAAACATGACAGCTTTATGATATGAAGGTCTTGGAATTACAGTATGTTTAAAGAGCATCGTTGGCCCTTGCAGAGCTGGTGGGGATGTTGTTGAGTGAGTTGGGCTCCCATCTTCGGAGGGAGTTATGGTACTGTGGTTCCCCGAGTTTCCAACTCTTGAGTTTTTCCCCTCCTATCTGCAGAGGAGGAGAGGGAGAGAGATGGAGGGAGGGGCACCACCCAACACAACACTCTTCGCAGCAGCAAAGCAGATATCTGTTCACGCCTCCCCCAACCACAAACAGGGTCTTACACAAGCAAGTGATTAACCTTTGCTTCTGCACCAACCCCACCCCCCTCCCCCCAATGTGCACTGGCGCTTTAACTTCTAGTGTTGGCATGTGAACGGCGTGCCAGGGATGCCATTCCTTTGTACACTCTTGCTGATAGTTGCGTGCCGGAAAGGAAAGACGAGATTCGGAACATGCGGGACAGTTAGCGAAGAACTGTAAACCCAGAAAAGAAACACCAGGGCTGTTAAGCAACGTCTTGCGAGGCGAGGCGAGGCGAGGCGGGGCGGGGCGGGGCGAAGCGAGGCGCCTAAAAACCGCCTGTCAAGTAACTGCTGCGCAGCAACCGCTCGATTCCGCAATCGCATACCAGTACCGTACCTTCCAACCCCCCACTCCCTCCTCCTCATCCCACCACCTCCCCTTCCCCCTGCCTTCCCACCTCTCCTTCACCTCTTCCCTTCCCCCTTCTCCACCATGCCCTCTGAACCACTCTTGCTGGTACCCCCACCACTGTTTTCCCCACACTACTGCCTTAGAAAGGGAGCGCACATGAGTTCATTCATTGCTTGCCTTGCCGCCTCCCGCTCCCTCCACCTCCGCCCCCTGCACCACCCTTGCTGCTGTCCTCAGCTCCACCTTCCCCTCGTGTTGCCTGCTCCACCTCTCCCGCTGCCAGCCTCAGCACCTCCCACACCATTTCCTCCCTCCACCCCCCTTCCTTTTTGCCGCCTTCAAAATGTAATACCTATGCGTTCACTTCACTGCTTGCCGCCTCCCCCTCCTTCCACCTCCGCTCCCTCCGCACCACCCTTGCTGCTGGTCCCTCCTCCCTCTACCCCTTGTGTGGCCGCCTCCACCTCTCCCACCGCCAGCCTCAGCACCTCCCACACTGCCGCTCGCTGCCTGCAAGAGGGGCAGAGGAAGGAGGGGAGGGCAGAGCAAGGGGAGCCACGCAAGAACAAGGAGAGATGTGCAAAGTCCCCACCCCGTGTGGCCTCCTCCACACTTCTCCCACTGCCAGCATCAGCACTTCCCACACTGCCGCTCGCTGCCTGCCCCGTGGGAGGTGGGGCAGAGCGAGGCGAGAGGAGGGAGAGCGAGGAGGGCGATGGGGCAGAGTGAGGAGGGAGGCAACGAAGAGGGAGGCGGGAGGTGGACACACCAAAAAAAGCATCCGACCATGGCAGAATAATTTGGAAATCTGAAGAAAAAGATCACGAGTAGGATTCACGTTTCACGGAACTCAGAAGGAACAGAGGGACGAGACAGGGAGAAGGGATTGGGTGGATGCTCAAGGGTGATCAGGGGTGCGGTGCGGTGCTCAGAGGTACTGACTCCTTGATGCCTTGTAAGGACTGCTTGCGCATCTCCAGCTGCGTCTTGAGTATGTGTGTTAGCGTTGCCCGCGCCTGGCGAGGGGAGTAGGCAAAGGAAGAAGACGAGGGGAGCAGACGAGAGGAGCAGACGAGAGGAGCAGGCAAAGGGAGCAGACGAGAGGATTAGGCAAAGGGAGCAGACGAGAGGAGCAGGCAAAGGGAGCAGACGAGAGGATTAGGCAAAGGGAGCAGACGAGAGGAGCAGGCAAAGGGAGCAGACGAGAGGATTAGGCAAAGGGAGCAGACGAGAGGATTAGGCAAAGGGAGCAGACGAGAGGATTAGGCAAAGGGAGCAGACGAGAGGATTAGGCAAAGGGAGCAGACGAGAGGAGCAGGCAAAGGGAGCAGACGAGAGGATTAGGCAAAGGGAGCAGACGAGAGGAGCAGGCAAAGGGAGCAGACGAGAGGATTAGGCAAAGGGAGCAGACGAGAGGAGCAGGCAAAGGGAGCAGACGAGAGGATTAGGCAAAGGGAGCAGACGAGAGGATTAGGCAAAGGGAGCAGACGAGAGGATTAGGCAAAGGGAGCAGACGAGAGGATTAGGCAAAGGGAGCAGACGAGAGGAGCAGGCAAAGGGAGCAGACGAGAGGATTAGGCAAAGGGAGCAGACGAGAGGATTAGGCAAAGGGAGCAGACGAGAGGATTAGGCAAAGGGAGCAGACGAGAGGAGCAGGCAAAGGGAGCAGACGAGAGGATTAGGCAAAGGGAGCAGACGAGAGGATTAGGCAAAGGGAGCAGACGAGAGGATTAGGCAAAGGGAGCAGACGAGAGGATTAGGCAAAGGGAGCAGACGAGAGGAGCAGGCAAAGGGAGCAGACGAGAGGATTAGGCAAAGGGAGCAGACGAGAGGATTAGGCAAAGGGAGCAGACGAGAGGATTAGGCAAAGGGAGCAGACGAGAGGATTAGGCAAAGGGAGCAGACGAGAGGATTAGGCAAAGGGAGCAGACGAGAGGATTAGGCAAAGGGAGCAGACCAGAGGATTAGGCAAAGGGAGCAGACGAGAGGATTAGGCAAAGGGAGCAGACGAGAGGATTAGGCAAAGGGAGCAGACGAGAGGATTAGGCAAAGGGAGCAGACGAGAGGATTAGGCAAAGGGAGCAGACGAGAGGATTAGGCAAAGGGAGCAGACGAGAGGATTAGGCAAAGGGAGCAGACGAGAGGAGCAGGCAAAGGGAGCAGACGAGAGGATTAGGCAAAGGGAGCAGACGAGAGGATTAGGCAAAGGGAGCAGACGAGAGGATTAGGCAAAGGGAGCAGACGAGAGGATTAGGCAAAGGGAGCAGACGAGAGGATTAGGCAAAGGGAGCAGACGAGAGGATTAGGCAAAGGGAGCAGACGAGAGGATTAGGCAAAGGGAGCAGACGAGAGGATTAGGCAAAGGGAGCAGACGAGAGGATTAGGCAAAGGGAGCAGACGAGAGGATTAGGCAAAGGGGAGCAGACGAGAGGATTAGGCAAAGGGAGCAGACGAGAGGATTAGGCAAAGGGAGCAGACGAGAGGATTAGGCAAAGGGAGCAGACGAGAGGATTAGGCAAAGGGAGCAGACGAGTGGATTAGGCAAAGGGAGCAGACGAGAGGATTAGGCAAAGGGAGCAGACGAGAGGATTAGGCAAAGGGAGCAGACGAGAGGATTAGGCAAAGGGAGCAGACGAGAGGAGCAGGCAAAGGGAGCAGACGAGAGGATTAGGCAAAGGGAGCAGACGAGAGGAGCAGGCAAAGGGAGCAGACGAGAGGAGCAGGCAAAGGGAGCAGACGAGAGGATTAGGCAAAGGGAGCAGACGAGAGGAGCAGGCAAAGGGAGCAGACGAGAGCAGCAGGCAAAGGGAGCAGACGAGAGGATTAGGCAAAGGGAGCAGACGAGAGGATTAGGCAAAGGGAGCAGACGAGAGGATTAGGCAAAGGGAGCAGACGAGAGGATTCGGCAAAGGGAGCAGACGAGAGGATTAGGCAAAGGGAGCAGACGAGAGGATTAGGCAAAGGGAGCAGACGAGAGGATTAGGCAAAGGGAGCAGACGAGAGGAGCAGGCAAAGGGAGCAGACGAGAGGATTAGGCAAAGGGAGCAGACGAGAGGAGCAGGCAAAGGGAGCAGACGAGAGCAGCAGGCAAAGGGAGCAGACAAGAGGATTAGGCAAAGGGAGCAGACGAGAGGATTAGGCAAAGGGAGCAGACGAGAGGATTAGGCAAAGGGAGCAGACGAGAGGATTAGGCAAAGGGAGCAGACGAGAGGAGCAGGCAAAGGGAGCAGACGAGAGGATTAGGCAAAGGGAGCAGACGAGAGGAGCAGGCAAAGGGAGCAGACGAGAGGATTAGGCAAAGGGAGCAGACGAGAGGATTAGGCAAAGGGAGCAGACGAGAGGATTAGGCAAAGGGAGCAGACGAGAGGATTAGGCAAAGGGAGCAGACGAGAGGAGCAGGCAAAGGGAGCAGACGAGAGGAGCAGACGAGAGGAGCAGGCAAAGGGAGCAGACGAGAGGAGCAGACGAGAGGAGCAGGCAAAGGGAGCAGACGAGAGGAGCAGACGAGAGGAGTAAGCAAAGGGAGCAGACGAGATAATTGAAGTGTTTTGAGACGCCTGAAAGCAACTGCTTGCGCATCTCCAGCTGCGTTTTGAGTACGTGTGTGAGTGTTGCCCGTTCCTGCAAAGCGGACGAAGCAGATGAGGTGCAGTGCAGAGGAGGGATGAGGCATGAAGTGCACATGGTGGGGGCACCGAGGGCGGCTGCACTGCACCTGATGGAGTCCTCTGGTGGTGGCCACCTAATGAGAGCACCTGATGAGGGCGCAGCGAGTTGAGGAGGAAGTGCAGGTTGGTGAAGAGCAGCGAGATGTCCTCCACACACCGCCCTGCCTGTGATGGCCGCTCCACCAACACGTCTGCCAGCTCCAGCACCAGCAGGCCCAGCTCCCGCCCCAACGCCTTCAGCTCTGCACGCGTGTCTGCGTTGAGGGGGAATGAGGAGGGCACAGAGTCATGACAATCGCGCTACCAACACGTCCGCCAGCTCCAACACCAGCAGGCCCAACTCAACTCACGGCCTAACGCCTTCAGCTCTGCTCGTGTGTCTAAGGGGGAGGAGGGGGGTGAGGGTGAGTGGGTGGAGAGGATGAGGAGGGCATAACGGCATGATGGCCGCTCCACCAGCACGTCTGCCAGCTCCAGCACCAGCGGGTTTAATTCCCGACCCAGTGCTTTTAACTCTGCACGTGTGTCTGCAGGGGAGAGGGGGGTGGTGGTGGGTGGAGAGGAGGACAAGCGGCATAGAGGCATGCAAGTCGCTCAACCAGCACAGCACGTCCGCCGGCTCCAGCACCAGCAGGCCTAATTCCCGCCCCAGTGCCTTTAGTTAGTTCTGCGCGTGTGTCTGGGGGGACAGGGCAGGAGAGGATAAGGGAGAGGCTTCAGTGGCTCACAGTGGCTCCACCAGCACGGCTGCCTGCCTGCTCCAGCACCAGTAGGCCCAGGTCTCGCCCCAGTGCCTTGAGCTCTGCACGCGTGTCTGGGAGTGGACATGACAGGCGCGGGCGAGACCAGGCAGGGGCAGGGAAGACAGGGAAAGGGCAGAGGGACATGATGGCATGATGGCATGATGGCATGTCGGGGGGCGTGCGAGTGATACTTGAGAGTTTCTCTCTGACATTCTTGCTGGAGAGGAACACAACACAACACTCTTGAGTCGACAGAGAATTCACGATGGCATGCATGCGCTGCGCACGAGTGACAGTGGAGAGTTTGAGGGGTTCTCACGGATGTTCTCGGCGGAAGGGGACTCGAGGCTGCCGTGTCCTCCACGCCACGGGAGTGACCTCCACGCCCATACCCCTTTGAGGCGCCTAAAAAGGTGCGATAGTTGAGTTGAGAGTGCTCACTGATATTCTTGGTGGAGGGGAAGAGCTGTCGCACGCCCTGCTCCTCCAGGCTCGGCAGCCGATCCTCCGTCTGCATTGCATTGCGTGCCAAGGGAGGGGCCGGGCAAGAGAGGGGAGAATAGAGAGCTGGGGAAAGAGAGCGGGGGGGAAATAGAGTGAAGGAAAGGGAGCAAGGGGGAAGAGGGAAGGGGAGAAGAGAGCAGGGGGAAAGAGATCACGGGGGAAGAGAGGGGGTTAAAGAGAGTGGGGGGAAAGAGAGCGAGGCGAGAGAGAGAGAGCGCGGAAAGAGAGCAGGGGAAAAGAGAGTGGGGGAAAGAGAGCAAGGGGGAAGAGGTCAGGACGGAAGAGAGCAGGGGGGGAAAAAAGCAGGGGGCAAGAGAGCGGGGGAAAGAGAGAGAGGGGGACGAGAGCGGGGGGAAAGAGAGCGGGGGGGTAAGAGGGTGTGGAAAAGAGAGTGGGGGTTAAGAGAGTGGGGGTTAAGAGAGTGGGAGAAACAGAGCGGGGAAGAAGGGAGCGGGAGGCAGGAGAGCAGGGGTAAAGAGAGCAGCGGGCGAGAGAGCGGGGGACAAGGGAGCGGGGAGCAAGACAGCAGGGAGCAAGAGGGCAGGGAGCAAGAGGGCAGGGAGCAAGAGGGCAGGGAGCAAGAGGGCAGGGAGCAAGAGGGCAGGGAGCAAGAGAGCAGGGAGCAAGAGAGCAGGGAGCAAGAGAGCAGGGAGCAAGAGAGCAGGGAGCAAGAGAGCGGCGAGGAAAGCAAGGAGGCAAGAGCGAGAAAGAGGAATGGATGTGGGCAGTGTAGTAGGGGACTATTTGTCTGCTGTGCGCGAGGGAAGCGAGCATTCTTGAAGAAAGCAAACATCTCATTTCTGCTGGTAGCAAGGGTCTTGAATGAATCGAGCGGGTCCCAAGGGACCGAGCGGGTGTCTGAAAACGAGTGAACGGGGGGCATAAGTAGCTCACTTCGTCGCACCTTGGCTGTGCGTGCGAATATCCATTTTGAGTCGACTCAAAAACGGGGGGGCTAAGTAGCTCTTGTCGTCGCATCATGGCTGTGCGAAATTGATTTCCCGTGCCTGTGCGTCCGTCCAACGTGACCAACACCAGCGCACCTGCCGTCCGCAGTAAGCCATGCTGTTGATTTCAAATGTAACGCCCCGCTCGCTACCCACTGGGTCAAGACGGGGGCGTCAGTGAGGCGCAGCGGATGCACTTGAACCATTCGTGTAAGCCTGTTCGTGCACTGTTGTCTTAGCCCGCAGGCGTTACACGCAACAAACGCCACAGCCACGAAAGGTGGGCGTGGCTCATGCTGTACGAAACGAGGCTCCACGTGCCTGCCTGCCTGCCTGCGCCGGCAACACCAACCGACCTGCGTTGACTCACGTTGTACGGTGCCCCGAAGGATACGTATTCGCCGGTGATGGCGGGCGGCGGGGGCGGGCCGCCTGTGCACGTGTGGGGGTCGTAGGCGGCATAGAGCTTGTAGTACGGCGGCGGGGGCGGGTACGTTGACGCCGTCGCTTCCATTCGGTACTCTCGAAGCGACTAACTAAGGTGCCTAAAAAAAAAAAAAAAAAAACGTCTCGTTCCGCGGTGTAGAGCTCGTACTAGTAGGGCGGCGGGGGCGGGTATGTGAATGCAGTCGCGCCCATCGGGATTCCCGAGGCGGCGAGAGACAACCCTTTGAGTTTCGATGAGGACACGGGCGAATCAAAAGTACGTTGACGTTGTCGCGTCCATCGGAACTCCCGGAGCGGTGACGCGGCGTGACACGCGCGCGGCACGGATCACGACATCAGAGGGAGTTATTAACGTGTCGCTGATGTGAAACTGGGAGTTCGCGACGCGACGAGGGGTCGATGGTGAAGTGGAGGAGGGGAACGGGGTGGTGAGTATTGTTGCGACACGCGGGTACTAGGTGGGAGGATGAAGGCGTGGCAGTGGCATGACACTCTCCACCTTGCCTGCCTGCATATTGGTACAGCGTTTCCTCCCGTCTGTGAGCTGAACCGAAATTACGTATTACGAGGCAAGGTGAGGGATGCATATACACATTTGCAGTTCGGAGTTTGGTGATCTCCGCTTGATGCATCAACCTGGTTCCTCTTGACTCGTACAGTGTTTCCTTCGCTTGTTGATTGGAGGCAACAGGTTTTACAGTGGACAGCTGGCGCTCTTCCTGGCTCAGCGAGGAGGGAGCTTCCCCTTTCCCCTTCTCTTCTGCCCCTCAATATACGCACACCTAGCATACACGTATAAGAACAGAGATGCAAGCGCACAGTTTCGCACTGGTGTGACATCAGCGGGTGATGCAACACACCCACCCAGCCCTGGGTGGCGGCAGGTTTACCACACAATTTTGTGACGCATACAAACAGCCCGCTCGATGTCCCTGTGTCCCAGTGCAGTTGTAGAAGCGTCAAGTTAGCTCCTCTTACTTACTAAAGTGCTTGATCGTGTTTACACAAATGCTGGTTGGCAGTCGTGAAAATGAGTTTCATTCCGCAGATCCATGCAGCCAGAATATACGCCTCGATGATCTGCCAGAAATGATGCACCCGTATCGCTAAAAAGACGTCCTACATGACCGAAGGGACCATTGTCATTCTTCTGTGTACAGTGTATCTTTGGATACAGTACAGTATTGTCCAGCTGCCACCTGTGGTGCACTGTCGTGGGCAGTTGTAAAAAGTCTGATGTTTGGATTTGCTCACAGCCGCGCCGCTAGGTCTGCATCCCTTATCGTTCCCCTAGCTCTCCCTTCCCCGCTCCACTCACCCAACTTGCTTTTCCTCCAACCCCTTCGGACCGAACCAAAGCTCTTCACCCTCACACCCTATACACCGCAAAACCTCCAAGCACCGCGTGAAGGTCCCTTTCTTCCGACACGAACCGACTCGCGCCTCCTCCGCAACCACAAAATCTGCTCGCTTCCTTTTCCCCAGTCCACCCTCCCCATTCCGCCGATTTCCCCCCGCGAGCCGGTCAGGCGAAGCCGCCGCAACCCAGCTTGAATCTTGAATCGCTGGGAAGGGAACGCAGGCAGCGATTGACGACCGATTGTCCTGCTGAGTCGTGCTTCCCTTGCCTTCCCTTCCCACCGACCCGTTCCACCCACTCCACCCAACGCATTCAACGACCAACGTAGGTGCAAGCAGGGGAGCGAGGGATGAAGGAGACTGGCCAAGCCGTGTTTCTGCTTCTTGGTTTGCCACGTGAAGTGACGGCGGTCACACACGACACGATATATAGGCTTGCCAGGCGACGAGTAGTTAATCCGCAGGAGGTCCCACTAGCCGGCGAGCACATCGAACTTGCGTGCATTGCGTTCCGAGTTTACACCGTCCCTTGCCTCCTCATACCATCATCTAAATACCAAAGCGCGGTCTAGACTTCGAGCTGGAAAATGGCTTCTCGGCAAAGACACTCCGGCTCGCGCAGTAACCTTTCTGGACATCCATTCCCGCTCCACCATTCCCACAGCCAAGCCTTTCTATCGCACCGCCCACGCTACCGCTCGCACTGCCGCTCACACTGCTGCCTTGTACAGACCCGCCGGCAAATGCCAGCCCGTTTTCCCCTCCTCGTGCTTCTCGTCTCGCTATCCGCAGCGCCGCTGCTCCGCCCCGCCATCGGTACGAGCACCGCTGCCCGTACACCTCCTGATCACTTGTAGTATCTAAAAGTTGGCAATCGGTCGATGAATCTATTACTGTAAAGAGCAAGCTGCTGTTGTCGAGTAGATTCTTGCAGAGCGTTTCACGTACGGAATTCAGGTGCATTCAGGTTAGTTGCAAGCTTGGCGCATCCCGCGACTCGGCGAGCTAGCGTGTTGAAATGCCGCGCCGCTCCAATCATTCTCTTGCCCCGTTTTCCCCCCATCCCCCGCAGCTTCCCCCCCGGATGTCTCCGCGCTCTACATCGTCCGCCTGCGTTCCGCGCCGCCCGTCGCCTCCTATCGCGGCGGAATCCCCGGCTACCCGGCAACGGCCGTCTGGGAGAGCGACCCTAACGGCAACGCGACAGATGCGACGTCCGACGACACCGCCGCCGGTTACGATGGCGGCGGCGGCGCTGGCACCGCTTCTGTTTCCTCCTTCGCCGCAGCTGGTGCGGCGACTACCAGCGGTTTAGGATCATGGCTTGGCCGCCGGTTGCGGCGGCCGCGAGTGGACGTGAGGGCGCCGGGCGTGAGGGCGTTCAAGCAGCTGCTGCAGCGCATGCAGCAGGCCGTGCTGAGAGACAGCGGGGTGGCCGCGGGGAAGATGGTGTACAGGTGAGGGGAGTGAGGGGAATGAGGTGAGAAGATGGTGTACAGGTGGGAGGGGAAGAGGGGAACGTTATTACTGACGAATTATTTGCTCCCTTTTCGTACCACTGTTCCCATTTCCCGCCTCCGTTTCCTCCGCCCTCCCAACCAGCCCAACCCCTTCCCCGATCTCCATCCCCCCCCTCTCCTCTTTCCCCCCCTCCGCCGCGCCAGCTACATGCACGCATCGAACGGCTTCTCCGCGACCTCCACGCCCCTCGTTTCCCCCCTTCCCCACCCTCGTTTCCCCCCTTCCCCACCCTCGTTTCCCCCCTTCCCCACCCTCGTTTCCCCCCTTCCCCACCCTCGTTTCCCCCCTTCCCCACCCTCGTTTCCCCTTGCCCGCCCGCCCTCCCTTCCTCCCTTCAGCTACATGCACGCGTCGAACGGCTTCTCCGCGACGCTCACGCCGGCGCAGGTGCAGCGGATGAGGCGGCACCCGTCCGTGGCGTCCGTGACGCAGGCGCGCGTGGTGCGCCCTGCGACGACCGACTCGTACAAGTTCCTCGGCCTGCCCGGGTCGCTCTGGGCCGACGCGGGCGGACCCAGCAGCGCGGGGGACGGCACGGTGATTGGCATCGTGGACACGGGCATATGGCCCGAGCACGCTTCCTTTGACGACACGGTAGGTTGTGCATCACCTTGGCCTCAGTAGGGTCAACACGTTTGTCAATAGCGACAGCACGGTGATTAGCATTGGACACGGGCATATGGCCCGAGCACGTTCTTTTTTATGACACGGTACGCGCCTCGCTTTGCCGTCACCATCCGCGCTTCTCCCTTCTCACTCCCTCCACCTGTCGCCCGCCCCTTTAGATAAAAGCTCTTGCACTCCCGTCCCTTCTCCCCACCACCATCACCATGCCATCAGCCATTCTTCCCCATCCCACAACTCAGCTACCCCCTCCCTTCCCCTCACCTCATCCCCTTCCTCCCCTTCCCCTCCTCCCCTCCCCACGCTCCCCCTCATTCTCACCGCATCGCCTACCCACGTCCTGGGAAGCAGGGCTACAGCAGCACGCTCCCTTCTGTGCATGGAGGCCACGTGTCCCAGCACCACCCCACTAACCCACCGCTACCCCTCCACCCCTCCACCCTCCCCGTCCCCACCAGGGCTACAGCAGCACGCTCCCTTCTGTGCATGGAGGCCACGTGTCCCAGCACCACCCCACTAACCCACCGCTACCCCTCCACCCCTCCACCCTCCCCGTCCCCACCAGGGCTACAGCAGCACGCTCCCAACAGGATGGTCAGGCACGTGTCCCACGACAAGCGACTTCGCATGCAACAAGAAAATCATCGGGGGGGGAATCTTTTCCGCGGGGTTTGAGAGCGGCGGCACCACCATCGACCTCTCAGGCGACTGGAAGTCGCCGCGTGATTCTGCCGGGCACGGCACCTGGTGTGCGGGGTGAGTGTGTGCGGTGGGTGTGTGCGGTGGGTGTGTGCAGTGTATGGTGCATGGGGTATGGTGCATGGGGTATGGTGCATGGGGTATGGTGCATGGGGCATGGGGCATGGGGCATGGGGCATGGTGCATGGGGCATGGGGCATGGGGCATGGTGTATGATGCATGGGGCATGGGGCATGGGGCATCGGGAATGGTGCATGGGGCATCGGGAATGGTGCATGGGGCATCGGGAATGGTGCATGGTGATCATTTGCCGGCGGCATGATGTATGCCCTGCCACACATGCATGTTCCACAACCATCGCTCTCTCCACCTTCCCCCTCACCCCACCCACCCACCCTCACTCTCCCTTCCTCCAGGGCGGCAGCAGGCAACAACAACGTGCCAATCCCCAACATCGGCACGGCCAGCGGCATGGCGCCAGGGGCGCGCCTGGCCGTGTACAAGATCTTCTGGCAGACCAACGGATATATGTACGCCACCAGCCCAGACATCTTCTCAGCCGTTGATCAGGCCGTCGCCGACGGTGTGGATGTGCTGAGCCTGTCGCTGGGAGGAGCCAGTCCCACCGACACCTACTTTGACGACGTGCCCTTCATCAGCGTCCATGCCGTGAGTGCCCTTCATCAGCGTCCATGCCGTGAGTGCCCTTCATCAGCGTCCATGCCGTGAGTGCCCTTCATCAGCGTCCATGCCGTGAGTGCCCTTCATCAGCGTCCATGCCGTGAGTGCCCTACATCAGCGTCCATGCCGTGAGTGCCCTTCATCAGCGTCCATGCCGTGAGTGCCCTTCATCAGCGTCCATGCCGTGAGTGCCCTTCATCAGCGTCCATGCCGTGAGTGCCCTTCATCAGCGTCCATGCCGTGAGTGCCCTTCATCAGCGTCCATGCCGTGAGTGCCCTTCATCAGCGTCCATGCCGTGAGTGCCCTTCATCAGCGTCCATGCCGTGAGTGCCCTTCATCAGCGTCCATGCCGTGAGTGCCCTTCATCAGCGTCCATGCCGTGAGTGCCCTTCATCAGCGTCCATGCCGTGAGTGCCCTTCATCAGCGTCCATGCCGTGAGTGCCCTTCATCAGCGTCCATGCCGTGAGTGCCCTTCATCAGCGTCCATGCCGTGAGTGCCCTTCATCAGCGTCCATGCCGTGAGTGCCCTTCATCAGCGTCCATGCCGTGAGTGCCCTTCATCAGCGTCCATGCCGTGAGTGCCCTTCATCAGCGTCCATGCCGTGAGTGCCCTTCATCAGCGTCCATGCCGTGAGTGCCCTTCATCAGCGTCCATGCCGTGAGTGCCCTTCATCAGCGTCCATGCCGTGAGTGCCCTTCATCAGCGTCCATGCCGTGAGTGCCCTTCATCAGCGTCCATGCCGTGAGTGCCCTTCATCAGCGTCCATGCCGTGAGTGCCCTTCATCAGCGTCCATGCCGTGAGTGCCCTTCATCAGCGTCCATGCCGTGAGTGCCCTTCATCAGCGTCCATGCCGTGAGTGCCCTTCATCAGCGTCCATGCCGTGAGTGCCCTTCATCAGCGTCCATGCCGTGAGTGCCCTTCATCAGCGTCCATGCCGTGAGTGCCCTTCATCAGCGTCCATGCCGTGAGTGCCCTTCATCAGCGTCCATGCCGTGAGTGCCCTTCATCAGCGTCCATGCCGTGAGTGCCCTTCATCAGCGTCCATGCCGTGAGTGCCCTTCATCAGCGTCCATGCCGTGAGTGCCCTTCATCAGCGTCCATGCCGTGAGTGCCCTTCATCAGCGTCCATGCCGTGAGTGCCCTTCATCAGCGTCCATGCCGTGAGTGCCCTTCATCAGCGTCCATGCCGTGAGTGCCCTTCATCAGCGTCCATGCCGTGAGTGCCCTTCATCAGCGTCCATGCCGTGAGTGCCCTTCATCAGCGTCCATGCCGTGAGTGCCCTTCATCAGCGTCCATGCCGTGAGTGCCCTTCATCAGCGTCCATGCCGTGAGTGCCCTTCATCAGCGTCCATGCCGTGAGTGCCCTTCATCAGCGTCCATGCCGTGAGTGCCCTTCATCAGCGTCCATGCCGTGAGTGCCCTTCATCAGCGTCCATGCCGTGAGTGCCCTTCATCAGCGTCCATGCCGTGAGTGCCCTTCATCAGCGTCCATGCCGTGAGTGCCCTTCATCAGCGTCCATGCCGTGAGTGCCCTTCATCAGCGTCCATGCCGTGAGTGCCCTTCATCAGCGTCCATGCCGTGAGTGCCCTTCATCAGCGTCCATGCCGTGAGTGCCCTTCATCAGCGTCCATGCCGTGAGTGCCCTTCATCAGCGTCCATGCCGTGAGTGCCCTTCATCAGCGTCCATGCCGTGAGTGCCCTTCATCAGCGTCCATGCCGTGAGTGCCCTTCATCAGCGTCCATGCCGTGAGTGCCCTTCATCAGCGTCCATGCCGTGAGTGCCCTTCATCAGCGTCCATGCCGTGAGTGCCCTTCATCAGCGTCCATGCCGTGAGTGCCCTTCATCAGCGTCCATGCCGTGAGTGCCCTTCATCAGCGTCCATGCCGTGAGTGCCCTTCATCAGCGTCCATGCCGTGAGTGCCCTTCATCAGCGTCCATGCCGTGAGTGCCCTTCATCAGCGTCCATGCCGTGAGTGCCCTTCATCAGCGTCCATGCCGTGAGTGCCCTTCATCAGCGTCCATGCCGTGAGTGCCCTTCATCAGCGTCCATGCCGTGAGTGCCCTTCATCAGCGTCCATGCCGTGAGTGCCCTTCATCAGCGTCCATGCCGTGAGTGCCCTTCATCAGCGTCCATGCCGTGAGTGCCCTTCATCAGCGTCCATGCCGTGAGTGCCCTTCATCAGCGTCCATGCCGTGAGTGCCCTTCATCAGCGTCCATGCCGTGAGTGCCCTTCATCAGCGTCCATGCCGTGAGTGCCCTTCATCAGCGTCCATGCCGTGAGTGCCCTTCATCAGCGTCCATGCCGTGAGTGCCCTTCATCAGCGTCCATGCCGTGAGTGCCCTTCATCAGCGTCCATGCCGTGAGTGCCCTTCATCAGCGTCCATGCCGTGAGTGCCCTTCATCAGCGTCCATGCCGTGAGTGCCCTTCATCAGCGTCCATGCCGTGAGTGCCCTTCATCAGCGTCCATGCCGTGAGTGCCCTTCATCAGCGTCCATGCCGTGAGTGCCCTTCATCAGCGTCCATGCCGTGAGTGCCCTTCATCAGCGTCCATGCCGTGAGTGCCCTTCATCAGCGTCCATGCCGTGAGTGCTTGTACGGTACATGAGTCTTGTCCATGCAGTGACTGCTCGTGCTCTTCAATCATCAGCGTCAACGCGGTGAGTGGCTTGGCTGTGAGTGCTTGTGTGTGCAGTGAGTGCTTGTTGTACCTGTATGTATCCCACCATTCCAGTGCGTTTGTTGACGCGCCTCAAAGGCCAGTTCCACCGACACCTACGATGTGCCATTCATCAGCGTCCGTGCGAGGAGTGCTCCTCCTACCTCTATCCCTGTACTTTATCTATTTATTCCAATGCTTGCGCAATCAGTCACGTGGAGGGCCATGCTTGCGCAATCAGTCACGTGGAGGGCCATGCTTGCGCAATCAGTCACGTGGAGGGCCATGCTTGCGCAATCAGTCACGTGGAGGGCCATGCTTGCGCAATCAGTCACGTGGAGGGCCATGCTTGCGCAATCAGTCACGTGGAGGGCCATGCTTGCGCAATCAGTCACGTGGAGGGCCATGCTTGCGCAATCAGTCACGTGGAGGGCCATGCTTGCGGCCTCAGCCTCTCCTCTCTCCGCTCCTCTCCTTACGTCCATTCTCCCTCCCTTTCTCTCCTTTCCCACTCCCCCCATCAGGCGGGGGTGTTTGTGGCCTTTGCAGCGGGCAATGAGGGCCGCCCATCGGCCTTCGCAGCCACGGGCTATCGCACGCTCTGCAACTTCTCTCCTTACTACATGACCGTGGGCGCCAGGTGAGGAGGGGCGGTTGTGACCAGGGGGAAAGGAGGTGAGGGATGGGTTGAAACGAGGTGAGGCGAGGGGAAGGGGAAGTCCTCGCAGCCACGGGCTATCGCGCACACGCTCTGCAGCTTCCCGCCCTGCTACGACTGTGGGCGCTAGGTGAGGGATGGGGGGAAGGAGGCGAGAGACGGGCAAAGGCAGTGGTGAGAGGAAGAACGAGGTCAGGAGGTTGCATTGCACCCTGCCACAAGACCACGACACCCTGCCACAAGACCACGACACCCTGCCACAAGACCACGACACCCTGCCACAAGACCACGACACCCTGCCACAAGACCACGACACCCTGCCACAAGACCACGACACCCTGCCACAAGACCACGACACCCTGCCACAAGACCACGACACCCTGCCACAAGACCACGACACCCTGCCACAAGACCACGACACCCTGCCACAAGACCACGACACCCTGCCACAAGACCACGACACCCTGCCACAAGACCACGACACCCTGCCACAAGACCACGACACCAGGGCCCAGGTAAGTAGGGGGGAAGACGAGGCATGACCGTGCATTCTCTCCACTTCACACCCTCGCCTCGCCCTTGCTCATCCCTCCCCTCACATCCCCCCTCTTCGTCTCATCTCTCGCCTGCTCGTCCCATCTCTCTCTTTCTCTTCTCATCCCCGCATAATATATCTTCCCCTGTGCCCCTCTCCCCAACCGCTTCAACCACCCAACACCACTGCCACACCCTGCAGCACCATCACTCGCAACGGAGCATCCATCTCCTCCACAACAGCGGCAGCCACATCAACAGCAGCGTCCCTCGAAACTCCCTCTAACACCACAACTCCCACAGCCCTTGCAGCAGCCACCACAGTGTCAACCCTCAACGGAGCGCGCATCCCAGCCAGCATCTCCCCAGCAGCCACCGCCGCCCCGGTAGTCGCCTACTTCTCCTCCACCGGCCCACTCGCCAAGCCCTCAGCCGCCACACCAGCAGCCTACCCCTCCAACACCATCCTCAAGCCCGACATCATCGCCCCGGGGGTCCAGCTCTACGCTGCTTTTCCCGGCAGGACTGTGGGCTCTAAGGGAGGGTTCGAAGCGCTTTCAGGGACGTCAATGGCCACACCGCACATCGCTGGCATTGCTGCTCTCATAATTCAGCAGCATCCTGATTGGACGCCCTCACAGATCATGTCGGCAATGATGACTACAGCAAGGACTACTAATACCGGTAACGGGGCGATTAAAAACGAGTATGGGGCTGCTGCGTCGCCGTGGGAGATTGGAGCGGGGCATGTGGTGCCAGCTATGGTGGTTAACCCCGGGTTAACCTATGATGCCGGGGAGCAGGACTTCAAGAACTTTCTTGCTGGGCAGAACTATAAGCGGGCGAAGGGTGAATTCGGTACGGCTTCCCTCAGAGCTCTCTCCGCGAAGAATCTGAATCGGCCAGCTATCTCGCTGCCCAAAGTGCACAACAAGGCTTCGGTTACACGGACTGTAACAAATGTTGCGGATACCACGTCAACGTACACAGTGAGGATCAAGAAACCTGCTGGAGTGAAGGTGAAAGTGTCGCCATCAAGCTTCACTATTGCACCCGGGCAACGAAAGACTTTTACGGTGACTGTGGTGGTGAAGTGGGCTTCACAGTCCTTCAAGTTCGGCAGCCTCACGTGGGTGGACAACAAAGGGCACTCCGTGCGGTCCGTGCTGGCCGTGCAGCCGAGTAGTGCATGCTGGTTTGGCTGCTAAGGATCAGCCACCCCTCTTATCAGACTAGTGTGGTTGACTGCGTTTCTGCGCTGCTGAATGTGATTACAGTTACCGTGTTTTACTTAAGTGATTAGAGTCTGTTGAGATGTTTGCCTGATAAGAGGCTTCAGGAACTCGTCCTTACGGTAAGAGTAGAATCTGCAGCCTGTGCTGTGTATATGCTTTATATTACTATGTTTGGTGTGCTGTCCACTGTATCCTTTTACCTACAGTACAGTGTCGTACACCCTCTTTCTCGCCATTGTGAATTCGGTTATAGTGAAGTCAAGATGGGAAAAGCGCGGTTAACGGTGGTTAGATTAAGTCTCGGTATGGTTCAATCAGACAAATCGAAGGTAACTAGGTTTTCCACCAGTTCGGCACAGTTCAGAGTAGTGAGAAACAGGGTGTACATCCAAGGGCACACCCCCCCCGCCCCCATACTTACAGTTGAGAATAGCTGGTCGAGACTGTTACCGTAGTACACCCTATTCTCGATAATTGCACACCCCCTACCCCCTATTTCGAAGGTACCCTGTACGTTTTCTGGCTCGATGTGATAGACACCCAAAGATTGACGAGGGTAGTTATCGAGTCTAGCACTTAATTTTCCGAGTGAGTATTAGGGGTGGATGGCTGCCCTTGGAACTCCGGGTTCTTTTCTTCCATTCGCGAGAAGGTTGCGAGACCCCCTCCTCCGATAGTCTACAATCGTTGCTTGCTACCCTACTTAAACGTTTGACCGAGAATATTTACCCCAGGGTGTGCGCTTAAGGGGTGTGAAATTATCGAGAACAGGGAGTAGGCTTGCAGCGGTTCAGAACCAGCCATTGTATTCTAGACACGACATGGATCACATGCGAATGCTAAGCGACATGGATCACATGCGAATGCTAAGCAACATGGATCACATGCGAATGCTAAGCGACATGGATCACATGCGAATGCTAAGCCACATGGATCACATGCGAATGCTAAGCGACATGGATCACATGCGAATGCTAAGCAACATGGATCACATGCGAATGCTAAGCAACATGGATCACATGCGAATGCTAAGCAACATGGATCACATGCGAATGCTAAGCAACATGGATCACATGCGAATGCTAAGCAACATGGATCACATGCGAATGCTAAGCAACATGGATCACATGCGAATGCTAAGCAACATGGATCACATGCGAATGCTAAGCAACATGGATCACATGCGAATGCTAAGCAACATGGATCACATGCGAATGCTAAGCAACATGGATCACATGCGAATGCTAAGCAACATGGATCACATGCGAATGCTAAGCAACATGGATCACATGCGAATGCTAAGCAACATGGATCACATGCGAATGCTAAGCAACATGGATCACATGCGAATGCTAAGCAACATGGATCACATGCGAATGCTAAGCAACATGGATCACATGCGAATGCTAAGCAACATGGATCACATGCGAATGCTAAGCAACATGGATCACATGCGAATGCTAAGCAACATGGATCACATGCGAATGCTAAGCAACATGGATCACATGCGAATGCTAAGCAACATGGATCACATGCGAATGCTAAGCAACATGGATCACATGCGAATGCTAAGCAACATGGATCACATGCGAATGCTAAGCAACATGGATCACATGCGAATGCTAAGCAACATGGATCACATGCGAATGCTAAGCAACATGGATCACATGCGAATGCTAAGCAACATGGATCACATGCGAATGCTAAGCAACATGGATCACATGCGAATGCTAAGCAACATGGATCACATGCGAATGCTAAGCAACATGGATCACATGCATGCACTCTTCAACAGACGAATGCTATTAGCAGGCTTTGAAGTTGGCGCCGTTTAACACTATGAACTTTGCTTCTAAATTTCTTTCACAAACAAATGCCGCAGGCTGGAAAGGAAATGCTTTTCGTCAAGAACGAGCTCACATCATTCCTCCTATCCTGCTGGTACCGTATGTCCCACAGTCAGCAGCGAAACTGAGCAGCTGTGTCTGCAGTGCGGTGCACCTGCCTGCCTGCCATGCAGCTTGAGGTTCTGCTGCTACTGGTTTACCGAACTAGCAGCATGAGCCAAGGGAGTCTCAGCAGCACCCAGAGACACTCTAGAGCCATTGGAACTCTCTACCTTGAAAATTTTCGGCACCCAACCAACCAAGTGAACCCCTCCATTCCATCCACCATCGGCACCACACCTCCTTGTGTTGTGCCACATGCCCACCAGCTTGAACCCTTGCTTTACGAGCAGCACGGGCAGAGACAGCTCCAGCGCCAGAGGAGAGGACAGTTGGAGCCATTGAAACTTAATTCAAATCTTAGAAGTCTACTTAGCCCCTTGACTCTGCCGCGTAAAGATCTGCCGGCCCACCAGCTTGAGCCCCTCATCCACCAGAGGACAGCACGGGCAGTGAGAACAGCAGCACCACCAGCGGAGAGGACACTTGGGAGCCACTGAGACTTCATTTAACCCTTGAGGGCCTTTCTAGCCTCTCCTCTCTGCCGTGCAAAGATCTGCCGGCCCACCAGCTTGAGCCCCTCATCCACCAGCAGCACCAGCAGCACCAGCAACACGGGCAGTGAGAGCAGCAGCACCAGCGCCCAGAGGAAAGAGAGGTCAATCGCAGCCATTGCAACTCTATCTGACCCCTCCCCTCTGCCGTGCAAAGATTTGTCTGCCCACCAGCTTGAGGCCCTCGTCCACGAGCAGCACGGGCAGCGAGAACACCACCACCAGCGCCCACTCCTGCCACGTCAGCGGCACCACCTCAAACACGCCCGCCAGCGGCGAGTACAGCAGCGCCACGTGGAGCCCCATGGACGCACCAACGGCCAGAATTAGCCACTTGTTTATCCACGGTGGAGATTGCAGTAAACTGCGGTACTCGGAGACGGAGCTGAGGGCGAGCAGCATCTCGATGGTGACGAGCGTGGTGAGTGCGAGGGTCGATGGCTTGGCCGTGCCGCTCGTGAAGTAGTCGCATGGGGTTGGGAAGGAGACGACGCCGCCTCCTGCTACTGTGTAGGAGAGATGCGGGTTGAAGGGAGATTCTGGTGCCGGGGCAGGTGCGGGTGAGCCTACTCCTGCTCCTACTGCTGCTGCTGCGGTTGCTGGTGGGTCTACAAGAGGAGGGGCGGTCAGAGTAGCAGCAGGCACGGACCAGACAGAGCAGGTTCGGGAGTGAGACAGCTGCTCCCACGTCACAGCCGAATGCCCATCCTTGTCCAACCCAAACGGTGCAAACCACCCTCCATTTCCGCCCCCCATCCCCGTCCCCACCACACTCTCCTCCACCGCCCCCAACCCCATCTCCACCCCTCCACCACCCCCTCCCATCACCTCCCCATTCAAAAACCACACAGAAAACACCCCAACGGTCGCAGCACCGATATACGCCCCGAGCACCCCAAACCGCACCAGCACCCACGGGGAAACCAGCCCCTGGTCCCTCTCCCTCGGCGGCCGTGCCATCACATCAGCCTCGGGCGGCGTAAACCCTAACGCCACCGCCGGCGCCCCATCCCCGACAAGGTTGACCCAGAGGAGCTGCACGGGGAGGAGGAAGGAGGAGGAGGGCAGGCCGAGCAGGGACGCGGCGAAGATGGCGACGACCTCGCCGATGTTGGAGGAGATGAGGTAGCGGATGAACGCGCGCATGTTGTCGAATATGGCGCGCCCCTCCCTCACTGCTTCGACTATGGTGGCGAAGTTGTCGTCTGCTAGGACCATGTCTGCGGCCTCCTTGGCCACCTGTGGATGTGGGATGGGTGGCATGCGGGCGGGAATGGGGTGGGGAGTGAGATGGGCCACTTGTGGATGTGGAATGGGGTGGGGAGTGAGATGGGCCACTTGTGGATGTGGAATGGGGTGGGGAGTGAGATGGGCCACTTGTGGATGTGGAATGGGGTGGGGAGTGAGATGGGCCACTTGTGGATGTGGAATGGGGTGGGGAGTGAGATGGGCCACTTGTGGATGTGGAATGGGGTGGGGAGTGAGATGGGCCACTTGTGGATGTGGAATGGGGTGGGGAGTGAGATGGGCCACTTGTGGATGTGGAATGGGGTGGGGAGTGAGATGGGCCACTTGTGGATGTGGAATGGGGTGGGGAGTGAGATGGGCCACTTGTGGATGTGGAATGGGGTGGGGAGTGAGATGGGCCACTTGTGGATGTGGAATGGGGTGGGGAGTGAGATGGGCCACTTGTGGATGTGGAATGGGGTGGGGAGTGAGATGGGCCACTTGTGGATGTGGAATGGGGTGGGGAGTGAGATGGGCCACTTGTGGATGTGGAATGGGGTGGGGAGTGAGATGGGCCACTTGTGGATGTGGAATGGGGTGGGGAGTGAGATGGGCCACTTGTGGATGTGGAATGGGGTGGGGAGTGAGATGGGCCACTTGTGGATGTGGAATGGGGTGGGGAGTGAGATGGGCCACTTGTGGATGTGGAATGGGGTGGGGAGTGAGATGGGCCACTTGTGGATGTGGAATGGGGTGGGGAGTGAGATGGGCCACTTGTGGATGTGGAATGGGGTGGCATGCTAGGACCATGTCCGCTGCCTCCTTGGCCACCTGGTGTAGTATGGGGATTCGACGATGGGGGATGGACGGGTATGCAGTGTGGGGTATGGGGGATGGGGGATCGGGGAAGGGGAATGGGGGATGGGGATGGGGGGTATGGGTATGGGGTGTGGGGTATGGGGATGGGGATGAAGATGGGGATGGGTATGGGGATGGGGATGGGGATGGGGATAGGGATGGGTGGGGATGGGGCATCATTCTGAGAGATCTCAATCAGCACCCACCTCTGTGCCATCTGCACCCCTCTCCACCCACCTCTCTGCCTCGCCACCCCTCACCTCTGTGCCAGTAGCACCCATGGCAATCCCAACGTCAGCCATTTTGAGGGTGAAAGCGCGATTCACCCATTGCCCATCACCGTCACCACCCACTGCCCATGGCAACCCTCTGCACCCATCTGTCACTGGTTGGAACCGTTACGAAAGCGCTCGCATGCTGTGGTGGACCCCGCCCTTTTCACTAACTGAACTGATCAACACCTGAGCCCTATTTCAATAGTCACCCCACCCCACCCCTCCCCACCCCTCACCTCAGTTCCAGTGGCGCCCATGGCGATGCCAATGTCAGCCAGCTTGAGCGCGGGAGCATCGTTCACGCCGTCGCCCGTCATGGCCACCACCTCGCCCTGCGCCCGCAGCGCCCTCACGATCGCCTGCTTGTGTGCCGGCTCCGCCCGCCAGAACACCAGATTGCCGCCCCTCGCCCCCACACTGCTCCTATCCCCACCTCTCTCCCCGCCTGTGCTTTGTGTCCCCTCTGGCCTTCCTGCCAGGATCCTCAGCTGCTCCTCTTCTGGTAGCCGAACAAACTCCGCTGCTGCATATGAATGCGTGGCAGGATACGTGTCAGCATGCGTGCCACCGTGCGTGTCTACTTCTCTCTCCCCACCACCACCACCGCTGCGCCCAAACAGCCCGATCTGCCTCGCAACAGCATCAGCGGTAGCCCCCGAGTCCCCAGTGATTACAATCACGCGCATGCCGGCACTCGTGCACGCTGCTATGGCCCCCGGCACCTCAGGCCTGGGCGGGTCTCGGATCCCCACCAGCCCCACAAACGTGAGCTCGCTCTCTAACTCCTCGTACCGGCTCCCATCCTCCACCCACCGCCTCACCTCCTCACTCCACCCCTCTCCACTCCCCTGCACCTCCCTTCCATCCCCACCAGCCCCTTCCCTGCTCGCTTCACCCGCTCCCTTGCTTCCCTCGCCCCCATCCTGCCCCTTCAAACCCAAGCCTGCAAGGGCAGGGGGGAGGTGATCACGAAAGGCGAGCGACTTTTGAGGCGCCTCCAAGCCTGCAAGGGCAGGGGGGAGGTTGTCGCGGAAGGCGAAGGCCAGCACGCGCAGGCCCTGAGAGGCCATGGCTGCAATGCTGTGGGTCAGGCGGGCACGTGCGGAGGGGGAGATGGGGACAACGGTGCCCGAGGGGAGTTGCAGGGAGGAGCAGCGGCCGAGTACGCACTCCGCTGCTCCCTTCACCAGCAGCCGGTTGCTTGCCCCACACCCCCCCTCCCCCTGCCACTTCATGGCTCCGTTTTCTTCCCCGTCCTCCCCCACTTCCGTGCCTTCCCTCACTGACCCTCGCTCCCCCATTGCCCCCTGCTCCCCCACCGCCCCGCCCTGCTGCATGGCCCCTCCCCAATCCCCCGCGTCTCGGCCCCCCAGGGGAGTGACGAGCACGCTCATGGACTTGCGGAGGCGGTCGAACTCAAGAGTGCACAGGCGCGCCCACCGCTGCTCCCAGTAGGTGCTCGCCACGCACAGGGCGCCCTCCTCCCCACTGGCCTTGCGCGCCGCCTCTATCCGCGCCTGCTGCTCCACGCTCGGTACACCCAGCTTCTCTGCCAGCACCTGCATGTGGGGAATCGGGACAAACAGATGTTACTGCTATTGTTTGTTTGTTTGTTTGTTTGTTTGTTTTTCCCTTTCTTACTTTCTTTCTTCTCCAAAAGCACCAGTCTTTTCTTTGACCGTGCACACGCGCTACCACTGCTGGTGCCATAAACTCTACCACCTCTTTTTCACTGTGATTCTATGGAAACCCAACCCTCATTCTCATGTGATGCCGCACTTTGACCTCACCTATAACATCACGATGCCCTCATATTGACTGTCTGTACCTTCACTTCCCCTTCACCATGCTGTGACATGACCCCTCACTGAAGCACGCTGCACACCTCCTATCACTCCACTCGCGCCTCACTGACACTCACTGTGACTACACGTGTGACCTCACCTCACCTCAAGCGTGGCCTAAGAGGGCATGTCAAAACACCTCCCTTAGGGGTCACACCTCACCTCACCTCACCTCACCTCACTCCACCACCTCACTAACTTCCTTTTCACCGCACTGTCACACGACCCCCCTCACCTTGAGAGCGGCCTCAGTGGGCATGCCAGAGCAGGCGTACCGCCCCTTGGTGGCCGTGATGCTGCTGTCATTGCACAGCGCACTGATGGCCGCCACACTCCACACTCCCACCTCTGCACTCCCAACCCCCTCATCACTCAAACCCCCTTCACTTACACCCCCTCCGCTCGCACTCCCTTCACTCATACCCCCCTCACTCAGAATAGATTCGCCTCCTTCTCTTCTTCCTCCTCCTCCCTCTCTTTCCCCTCCCCCTCCCCCTCTCCACCCCACCACCTCCCCATCGCCCGGGTCATACGTGGTCCCCGACACATCATACCACCGCACGTCCCCGTCAGCGCCACGTGGCACCGCCAGGCTGGCAACGGCCATCTGATTGGTCGTGAGCGTGCCGGTCTTATCGGAGCAGATCACGGTGGTGCACCCGAGCGTCTCAACGGACGGCAAGCGTCGGACTATAGCGTGCGCGTCTGCCATGCGCCGTGTGCCCAGCGCCAGGCATGTGGTGATCACTGCTGGCAGCCCCTCGGGGATCGCTGCTACTGCTAACGCCACTGCTTCCTGTTAGGTCGGGGTTGAAGGTTTGGAAGAAGGGTCGGGATTCACAAAAGCATAGGGCATCACACAACAGCAAGAATCGCGAGTGCCCTCTGCCATGCGCCGTGTGCCGAGCGCCAGGCACGTGGTGATGACTGCTGGTAGCCCCTCGGGGATTGCTGCTACTGCCAACGCCACTGCTTCCTGTTAGGTGGGGCGTGCAGGACCGTTAAGGGTCCAGGCTTCAGGTAAGGGATAATGGTTATGGTTGCTACAGCCAGGGCGCCAGCTGTTGGCGTAAGGATGGGATGGGATGGCGAGGGTGGGGGGGGAGGATGCAACCACAGCACGACCTAACACCCGATGGGAAACACAGGACGATGGTGTTGGCCTCTGCCATGCGCCAAGTGCCCAATGCCAGACAGGCACGTGGTCATGCCAGACAGGCACGTGGTCATGCCAGACAGGCACGTGGTCATGCCAGACAGGCACGTGGTCATGCCAGACAGGCACGCGGTCATGCCAGACAGGCACGCGGTCATGCCAGACAGGCACGTGGTCATGCCAGACAGGCACGCGGTCATGCCAGACAGGCACGTGGTCATGCCAGACAGGCACGTGGTCATGCCAGACAGGCACGTGGTCATGCCAGACAGGCACGTGGTCATGACCGCTGGCAGGCCCTCGCCTCGAGACTCACGGCTACAAGCAGAAGCACTGCCACCTGTTGTGAGGCCATGATTTGGAAGAATCTAGGCCGTTGGGTCCACGGATGTTACAACCACGGCTAACCTTGAAGTAGAACGTGGCCTGCTGAGCGTTGAACACGAGAGTCCGCCCCACGGCGTCCCACGCCACAAACCGGTCGAAATTCACCGCCCACAACACCACGCACATGGCGCCCACGGCCTGGGTGAGCGCGGTTGAAAACTCATCCAGGCGGCGCGACAGCGGCGTGTCGTACGCCGCCTCCTCCGCTGCAGCCGCTGTGATCTGCGCCTGGATGCGCCCCACCTCTGTCGCCATGCCCGTCGCCACCACCACCCCGATGAATGACCCGGTCGCTGCTGTCGTTCCTGCAAACGCCATGTTGGCTTTTGCCTGGATCTCCAGGCCGTCGCTGCTGCTGCTGCTGCTGCTGTTGTCGCTGCCGTCGCTGCTGCTAATGTCCCAATCTGCCTGCTGCGCTGCTCCCTCCTCCTCACTGCCCCCACCAGCAGCAAACGGCGTGTTGGCCTTTGACTGGACTGTCCTCGCAACTGCCAGATCGTCATCGCTGCTGCTGCTGCTGCTGTCCCACCGACTTTCCTCCACACTCTCTTCTCCCCCTCCTCGCCTCCTCTCCACCCGCTCCGTCTGCTTCACCTGGGGCTCGCTCTCTCCAGTGAGCGTGGACTCATTGAGCCGCACACAACCGCTCACCACCGCAACGATGCGCATGTCTGCTGCCACGCGGTCCCCTGCGCGCACCTCCACCACATCCCCCGGCACCAGCTCGCGTGCCGGCACCGTTATGAATGGCGCTGCTGCTGCTGCTGGCGCTGCTGGTCCGTCACTGTCGTCCTCCCGGCCGCCTTGGCCTCCCTCCATGTTCACGGCATGAACCGCGGCCCGCCTGACTCGCGCCGTCTGCGGTTGCAGCTCCTTGAGCGCCTGGGGGCGCATGGGGGGCGGAGGGGGAGTGCATGGGAGGATGGATGGGGGGAGGAGGCGGATGGAGGGAGGAGGAAGGGACGGCAAGAGAGAGGAAACGCATTCAGGTTTTTATACTCAGAGTCGCTCAGGCTCATCCATAACGCACAAAGGCACCCCAAGTCATACACTCACGAACAACAGGTCATTCCCACTCACACCCACCTTGAATCGTCTAGCCCTCGCCAACCAAGCTGCAGCCACTCCCTCACCCACCCCTCCCTCCCGTACTGCCAAGCCCTCACCTGCAGCGACTGCCCTCACCTGCAGCGACTGCCATATCTCACCTGCAGCGACTGCCATATCTCACCTGCAGCGACTGCCATATCTCACCTGCAGCGACTGCCCTCACCTGCAGCGACTGCCATATCTCACCTGCAGCGACTGCCATATCTCACCTGCAGCCACTGCCCTCACCTGCAGCGACTGCTCCGCCTGCACCTGCTGCCACACGCCGATGAGCGCGTTCAGCACCACGATCGCCACGATCACCACCGGCTCCGTGTACCCCGCCAGCCCCCCGCCCCCCCCTCCGCCTCCGCCTTCTGCTCCGCCTCCCGCGCCCCCTAGCCCGCCCTGCTCCGCCACGGCCAGCGCGAGCGAGACCACAGCGGCGGCGACGAGGATTCTAACTAGTGTGTCGTTGAGCTGGTCCAACACTAGGTCCCAGAATGGTGTGCCCGCCGGCCGGTCTAGCTCGTTCCACCCATGCGCTGCGCGCCGCCGCGCCACGTCGGATTCGGATAGGCCTGTGTCGAGGCTGACTGCGTAGTGCGCTGCCACGTGGCGCGGGGAGAAGTACCACGCGGGGAAGCTGGGCGGAGGAAGGGAGGTGGAGGAAGTGGGCGGGGAGATGGCGGAAGGGGGGGAGGGAGTGGCGGGGTCGTTTGTGGGATCCGGGGGAGGATCGAGGGTTGGTTTTTGTGGCGAGGAGGCTTGAAGCGGGGATGGATGCAAAGAACCTGCATCCTGGCCTGGTGGCGCCGTGCTAGTGCTACTACTTTCGCTACTGTCACTGCCCCTGGCGGTCTCGCCACTACATCCCTCGCTGTTCCTCTTTGTATCGCCGCTCGTCGCATCAGGCGTCGTCACGCGCTCACCACCGACCGACTCCTTTGCTCCGTCGCCGTGCGCCGCGGCTGCGACCGCGCGGCGACTGTTATGTTCGCGAGTCCCGCTGCGAAGTCGCGAAGGAATGGCGAGAAGGGACCAGCGGGGACGGAGACTGTGGCGGTGACCGTTGGATTGGCTCGACTTGGAGAGAGTGGATGGGCGCAACGACGGCTGGAAGGGGGACGCTGAGATGCCGCGGGGGGAGCGGCGAGAGCGACGCGGTGACGGATCGAGCGAGGGCTGTCGTTGAAGCGTGCGACCGTTAATCTGACCGTTATGGTGCTGACAGAGCGGCGTGCTGGGCGTGAATCGCGGTAGGCAGGGAGGTAGAGCGTGCGAGAGGAGAGAACGCGACATTGTGTACGGCGCGGCGCGGGTGGAGCAGTCGAGAGCGCGCGAGTGACGGAGGAGGGGCTAGCATGAGGAGCTCGATGCTTCAAGATAGTAGTCACGAGGACGATCCGCGAATAGCTCGCGAACGACGCGCCACCGTTCACTACTTGTTGGTTGTTAGTTTTGAGACGTTTGGTGAGTGAATTCGGAATGGGAACGGTATGAGACATGCCTTGTAGCTGCTCCTGATAAGTAGAACTATGACACCTACCTTGGACACGAATTTCATCAATTGGAGATGTGTCTGTCAGGTGTCACGTTCGATGAGTCACGAGATAAATGACATGGATGCCTAATCAATCAGGTTCGAGTTTGTCGGCATTTCGATGCGGAAAGACGGACAAGATTGACTTACGTGTCGAGGCAATATTGATTTGACGGCTTAGATTGCTTTTGTCGGTGACTTTTGTCTAGTCGCGTGTCTGGCGGATCGGAAGGCGCAAACCCCACGAAAGCTCGATCCTCGTCAGCCTGCAGCGCGCCGCCACGTATAGCCCAATTCTGTAGGAGAAACACTGTCGATGTTCGTCGCTGGCACATTTCTATTGGAGTTTGGGTGACGTTGACGGGTTCGTTTTCTTCACTTCTGATTCTGTACGCAGTTTAGATTGACAATCTACAAGTTCACACTTCTAAGTGTCCCGAGCTGATATACGTTAGCCTCAATCGAAACCTGCTTCGCCTTGTACATACTCTCGTTTCGTCCTCTAACGAGTCCAACCTCCACTACCCAAGCTGAAGCTTCTGTCCTATCGCTGTAACAAACACGCCATGAGTAGGCAATAGCCTCGGGCTAATGACTATCGTCGGTCCGTGATTCTTGGACCGTTCGACGAACGTCTCCAAGTGTTTGGTGGTCCACAGATGCCTCGTGAGACTGAAATATATTAAAGTTTTCATCTCACTGTCAGTCGAGGCGGAGTTGGGGAATGCTACAGCGACATTGCAACGCTGCCTGCGCCGCCAGCAAGCCCCCATTTCTAGTAGAGCAATCCCATTTCTACACCTTTTTTGCACCTGTGCCGTCACTTAGTCACGAGGGCACGCACGAGCACCTGTATCGGGTATGGCTTCCGTGATAACCTCCCCGCACACCGCCACGCTTCCTCGCTGTCCGCGCGCCGCGTGCCAGCCGTCGCCTCCAGCCGCCATCCCTGCATTGCAGATTAGGCACCATCACCACCACCAGCAGCACCCCCAGCAGCAGCAGCAGCAGCAGCAGCAGCAGCACCAGCAGCGCCGTTACAGTCAACAACTACAGGTCGCCTCCTTGCAGCCGCGACGGGCGGGGAATGCGCACGATTGGCACGCGCATGCCACGTATTGGGCACGTGGCTGGCACTCGCCCCGCCTCCTGAATCGGCCACTTCCATTTAGTGACCGTCATTCGCGGCACGAGCAACAGCCTGGTCTTTTCGCAACCGCACCCCCCTTCCCATCGCCGCACTCGCGCCAGCGTGGCATGCAGGAGAGCCCACGTGTCGCCCATCCGCACCTACGTGGCGTGCAGGCGAGCTCTCATGGGTCGGACGCGGCGGGGCGCCTGCTGGCGGCGGGGGTCCGTGACTCGCAGCAGGGCGGCGCCTCAACGTGGGGCGGCTCGACATTGGGCGGCTCGGCTTTGGGCGGCTCGACGTGGGGAGGTGATGCGAGGGGCGGGACAACGGGGTCGCCTGGCAGGGACACGCGGTGCCAGCTGTTCTCGTCCCAAACGGGTGAGCGACGCTTCTGAGAAGCTTCGGAGTGGGTGCATGTGCAGCCCACAGGGATGAGATTCCAGCGAGGGAAGAAAGAGGGGCAGGAGGGGAGGGAGGGAGGAAGCGGGGTGTGGCCCTTGAGATTAGAGGTCGCCCCCAGTCCCCACCAGCCTCCTCTCTCAGTCATGAGCTTGCGCCTAAGACCTATAATAAACTTCCCCTATCAACTCCCACACACTCTTCCCCCATTTCCCCCCCTCCTTTCCAATTATCGCTTCCCCCACCTTCCACTCTACTCCTTCCTTTCCTCCCTATTCCCCCTCCAATCCCCCCAATGCCGGTGGGTCTGTATCAGCCCTGCGCATCCCGCCCCTCACTATAGCCACGGAGGCAGCAGCCATGGACCAGCGCCCTGCCTTCCCCTCCTCCACTACTCTACCCCCCTACTTCCCCTTTTACCCCCCCACTACCTGTGGTGATTCGGTTTTTGAGAATTCTCAACAACCAACTCCTCTCATCTCCTCTCCTCCCCCACTGCCCGTGGTCCTCAGCCCTGCGCATCCCGCCCCTCACTATAGTCACGGAGGCGGCAGCCATGAACCAGCGCCCTGCCTTTCCCCTCCCTTCCCCTCCCCCCCTTCTTTCCTTTTTAATCCCCCATTGCCTGTGCGTCTCAGCCCTGCGCATTCCGCCCCTCACTATAGTCACGGAGGCGGCAGCCATGGACGAGCGCGAGGTGGCGGCGCTGCTGGCAGCATCTGGGCAGAACGGACAACTCTTCCCCGCCCTGCTGCCGCCCGAGTCGCCGCCCGACGGCCGCCCGGTGCCCCGAAACGTGAACGTGGCTCGCGTGCCGGTGGACCAGAGGAGAGTCAGACGGGCTGATGCTGCCAAGATGAGGAGAGCGCTGGATAAGAGGTGGGGGGGGAGATGGGGGGGGTGAGGATGGGAGAGGGGGTGAGGATGGGAGAGGGGGTGAGGATGGGAGAGGGGGTGAGGATGGGAGAGGGGGTGAGGATGGGAGAAGGGGTGAGGATGGGAGAAGGGGTGAGGATGGGAGAAGGGGTGAGAGGGAGATGGGGGGGGTGAGGAGGGCGCTAGAGTGGAGAGTGAGCGTGGGTGGAGTGCCTGTGGATAGAGAAGATGGGTGCCGATTCGATTCCATGGAGAAGCGAGATGAGAGAATGTGCTTCTTTCTTCTCATATCATGTCATGTCACCCTGTGGACATTGCTGTCCACGTCATACCCCTGCTGTCCACGTCATACCCCTGCTGTCCACGTCATACCCCTGCTGTCCACGTCATACCCCTGCTGTCCACGGGTGCAGCACAGTGACAGTGGGTCTGTACGTGAAGAAGGAAGACCTCTCAGAGGATTATTACACTGAGGAGGGCGAGGAGGTGGGGCAGGGGGAGGGAGAGGAGGTGGGGAAAGCGGAGGAGGGGGTGAGGAAGGAGAGGAAGGGCAGTGTGGAAGACGGCAGTGGTAGTGATGGTGGGAGTGATAGTGAGAGCAGCAGCAGCACCACCACCACCACCACAAGTGATTGGGACACGCCAAGCAAGGGGGGTAGCAATGGGGCGAGGGGGGGCAAGAGGAGGGGGATGAGCAAGTGGGCGCGGAGGAGGAGGGCGAAGGCGGTGGAGGAGGCGCGGCGCAGTGTGGAGGGCAAGAGGCTTGTGGCGTTTGGGCGGGCGTACTCCGATGGCACGCTCACTGCTGCCGTGCATGACATCGCGGTGCGTTTCATTTCATCTCCTGGGTGCATTTCATCTTTTGGGTGCGTTTCATGTGCTGGGTGGGTGCGTTTCTTTTCCTGGGTGCTTTTCATCTCCTGAGTGCGTTTCATCTAATGCTTCTGGGCGTGTTTCATCTCGAATGTTGTACAAACAGCATAGGCGAAGCGAATGTGTGCTCCCCTCATGAACTCCATTCCATCTGATGCCATGGCATCCATGGCATCCATGTTCAGCACGGCTTTTGAGGTGCCTCAAAAGCCGTGTGATGCCATGGGGTGCTGGGGTACCATGGGATGCCGTATCATGTTATCACATGTTCAGCACAGCACAGCACAGCACATCATACCATTCGGATTTGCTTCCCCTTTTTCTTCCTCTGCTTCGCATCCCTTACCGTCCCCTGACACTCCACCGCACCACTCTCCACCGCTCCCCACCATGCCAGGTGGCACCAATATACAGGGGCCGTGGCCTCGGTACAAGGGTGCTGCAGAGAATCCTCAGGTGAATCTCCAGGCGGATGTGCACAAAAAGCCTCTATTTCTCATCTCCTCTGTCTCTATTCTTCTCTGTTTCGACTCTCCTTTTCTGTTTTCCTCTGCTTCTCTTCTCTGGTTCTTCTCTGTTTAAAAACTCCTCTGCTTCAATGATCCTCCTTTCCAATTCCCCTCTCTTTCTATTCTCTTCTGCTGCTCGTCTCCTCTCTTCCTCTGTCGCCACCATGCTCACTCCCAGGGAGCTCCTATCGAGGGGCATAGGGGACATCTCTGCTGTCGTGTGGCCCAACCAGCGGTGAGTCGCTCTCACACCTGCTGCTCCTGCCACTGCTGCTATCTCTGCTACACCCCTACACCTGCACCATTACCCCCAGGGAGCTCCTATCGAGGGGCATTGGAGACATCTCTGCTGTCGTGTGACCCAACCAGCGGTGAGGTGACGTTACACCTGCTACACCTGCCACTGCTGCTATAACTGTTACACCTGCCATACCTGCTACACCTGCCACTGCTGCTATAACTGTTACACCTGCCATACCTGCTACACCTGCCACTGCTGCTATAACTGTTACACCTGCCATACCTGCTACACCTGCCACTGCTGCTATAACTGTTACACCTGCCATACCTGCTACACCTGCCACTGCTGCTATAACTGTTACACCTGCCATACCTGCTAGCAGTAGAGGAGGCACACGTGGCTGAGCAGCAGGCGGTGGTGGACCAAGGCGTGCGTGTGGTGGACCAAGGCGCGCGCGTGGACCAAGGCGCGCGCGTGGACCAAGGCGCGCGCGTGGACCAGGGCGTGCGCGTGGACCAAGGCGCGCGCGCGTGGACCAAGGCGCGCGCCCGTGGACCAAGGGGCGCGCGTGGACCAAGGCGCGCGCGTGGACCAAGGCGCGCCCGTGGACCAAGGCGCGCGCGTGGACCAAGGCGCGCCCGTGGACCAAGGCGCGCGCGTGGACCAAGGCGCGCTCGTGGACCAAGGCGCGCCCGTGGACCAAGGCGCGCCCGTGGACCAAGGCGCGCGCGTGGACGAAGGCGCGCCCGTGGACCAAGGCGCGCCCGTGGACCAAGGCGCGCGCGTGGACCAAGGCGCGCGCGTGGACCAAGGCGCGCGCGTGGACCAAGGCGCGCGCGTGGACCAAGGCGCGCCCGTGGACCAAGGCGAGCCCGTGGAGCAAGGCGCGCCTGTCGACCAAGGCGCGCCCGTCGACCAAGGCGCGCCCGTGGACCAAGGCGCGCCCGTGGACCAAGGCGCGCGCGTGGACCAAGGCGCGCGCGTGGACCAAGGCGCGCGCGTGGACCAAGGCGCTCCCGTGGACCAAGGCGCTCCCGTGGACCAAGGCGCGCCCGTGGACCATGGCGCGCCCGTGGACCAAGGCGCGCCCGTGGACCAAGGCGCGCCCGTGGACCAAGGCGCGCCCGTGGACCAAGGCGCGCCCGTGGACCAAGGCGCGCGCGTGGACCAAGGCGCGCCCGTGGACCAAGGCGCGCGCGTGGACCAAGGCGCGCCCGTGGACCAAGGCGCGCCCGTGGACCAAGGCGCGCCCGTGGACCAAGGCGCGCCCGTGGACCAAGGCGCGCGCGTGGACGAAGGCGCGCCCGTGGACCAAGGCGCGCCCGTGGACCAAGGCGCGCCCGTGGACCAAGGCGCGCGCGTGGACTTACACCTGCCACTGCTGCTATAACTGTTACACCTGCCATACCTGCTACACCTGCCACTGCTGCTATAACTGTTACACCTGCCATACCTGCTACACCTGCCACTGCTGCTATAACTGTTACACCTGCCATACCTGCTACACCTGCCACTGCTGCTATAACTGTTACACCTGCCATACCTGCTACACCTGCCACTGCTGCTATAACTGTTACACCTGCCATACCTGCTACACCTGCCACTGCTGCTATATCTGTTGCACCTGCCATACCTGCTACACCTGCCACTGCTGCTATAACTGTTACACCTGCCATACCTGCTACACCTGCTATACCTGCTACACCTGCCACACCTGCCACTGCTGCTACAGCTGCTAATGCTACTACTGCTGCTACAGCTGCTATAGCCGCCACCGTTTTACGGTGATGACTGCTGCAGTCTCTGTGTGCGCGAGACGAAGCCTTGGATTGTGTGTTTGATGGCAACCACACTCCATCCAACCCACACAGCACGAGCTCCCTCATGGATCCGCATCGCGTGCACAATACAGGCGATTTTTGAGGCGCCTCAAAAGGACCCCCAGGCTGAGACGAGCTGTCAACGGAACGGAGTAAACAGTGTCTTCAAGACCAGTGACCAGTAGGCGCCTCAAAATTCGCCTTAGTTCCCACAGAGCATGCTGAGGCATCCACAGGGCGTGCACAATACAGACAGAGCACCCCCCCCAATCCTTCCCTTCACCCCCATCTTCTACCTACCTCACCCCCACCTGGGCCCCCCTCCCCCTCATGTATCGCATTTAGCATCGCCTTATTGTGCTGCCACGTCATCGACAGCACAACCCATGCCACTTCTCCAAGCTCTTGCTATCCCCTCTTTAACCCCTGCTCTCGCTCCATCCTCTGTCACCCCCACGCGCCTCTGCTTTCCTCACGCCTCTGCCTCTCCGCACGCCCCTGGCTCAGCATGTGCCTCTGCTTTTGCTGAGCACCCCACAAGACAGCACCTTCTCTTCCACACCCCTCCTTTCCTTTCTTCCTCTGGCTCTCCTTGTATCATCCACACCCCTTGTTGCTCGATTTCATCCTTGCTTGCATGGGTGTACCTTCACGAGTGTATCAATAATCACCAACGCATACATATTCCTTCATACTCCTCTTCTGTGATGCAGCTTGTTTGTGTGGCAGTCAGGGTTCCCTTTCGGCCGCCTCCAGACCACCACGATGCTCCTGCCGCCCGCACACGTATCAGTTCCTATTACCAGTCACTAACACATACTGATTCTTTATTCTTCTGTGCTGCAGCTTGTTTGTGTGGCAGTCGGGGTTCCGGTTCGACCGCCTCCAGACCACCACGATGCTCTTCAAGGGTCTGCCGCCTGCACACGCTGACCGCAACAACAACACCAGTGGTGGCAGCAGCAGTAACAGTGGCAGCAGCAGCAGCAGCAGCAGCAACAGCAGCAACAGCAGCAGCAGCAGCAGCAGCAGCAGAGAAATTGGCATAGCAGACGACAACCAGCAGCTGCAGAGGCATACTGATGCTGGCTTCCAACCAGCAGAGGGGACGGCAGCAGAGGGGACGGCAGCAGAGGGGACGGCAGCAGAGGCAGCAGAGGCAGCAGAGGGGATAATAAGGCAACGGGAAGGTTCATCAGCCCATGAGCAAGGCAAGGGGGGCAGGCAGGCAGAGGAAAGAGAGGCAGCACATGAGGCAGAGCATGAGGAGACAAGCGAGGTGCAGTGGGGGGGTTGGAGCATGCGCATACCACCACCCCTGCAGGTGCCTTACCCGCTCAAGGCACCCTTGCCAGCCCTGGTGACTCAACAAACGACAGCAGCAGTTGCTGCTGCTGAGGCACGGCCGGTGGCAGGGCAGCAGGCAGGGGGGGAGGCAGAGGGGCAACGAGGGGGCGTGAAATTCCCGTGGGGGAGATAAGGGTGGGATACGGTAATGGTGATGAAGGGAGAAAATGGTGATGAGGGGGGGATGATGGTGATGAGGGGGAGGGGAGATGAAGGTGATGAGGGAATGATTGGAGATGATGATTTGCTCTTCAATGTTCACGTTTACATGTGCGCTGGAAGTGTCTGCTGTCAGAACTTCAGTGCTCTCTCTCCACTGCCACCTCAAGCCACCTTTCTCCTTTCAACATGGTAGTATTAGGAAACAGAGTGTATTTCAGCATCATGTAACCATATTTTACTTATTTATGGCCAATTTGCCTACCTTTCTCTTCCAGCATGCAGTCTGATGAGAGACTATGGATGTTACTACAGTACTACAGCAAGCGCTTTGTCAGTGCAAGAGGAACCGACCAATACAAGCAGTAAGCACACGCATGTTGCAGCAGCAGCAGCAGCAGCAGCAGCACATACATTAAGTGAACCGCAACCTGAACTACCGGTAAGAATTTTAACCCTCACAAGTCATGACGAAAATTCTAGACCTCAATGTCCCCGACCCCTAACAATGTACAGCGGAGAGCAGAGCAATGCCATGTGAGCAGCGCCAGGCCCCCAGCCCCAGCCCCCCAGCACCAGCACCAGCACCAGCAACAGCAACAGCACAAGCACCAGCAGAGGCATGCAACCAGCATAGCAGCAGCCATTGGTGCTCGAGGCGCAGTGGCTAAGCGGGGCCGCCTGCCACGTCACCTCGCCATGCGCTGCTGCTCAGAACCCCGAAGAAGCGGCCACCAGAACCCCTCTCGCTGCCACAATCGCCACCACAACACGTCCCTCCCCTCCATCGTTCTCTGACAGCAGGATCTTGCCTATCCCGGGGAAGCCAGTTCGCCAAAAACGACGGGCCGACGCGTGACTTCGCGACGTCCGAGAGCAGCGAAGCAGGAATGCACGGGGAAAAAAGAAAAAGAAAAAGACGCAGAAAGGAGGGGCGCCTCCGAGAGAGACTTGTGAAGTCTGAAACGGAAGAGCGTGGCTGAACTAAACCAGATGTAAGTGCGCGGGTGGCGTCAAGCACGGGGAAGGCGAAGCACGCGGAACGCGTCACGCGCGTGGTTGCGGGGTCCATGATTTCAGCGACTCGCGAGCCCCCCCGAACCTAATCGCATCTGACCGCATTATTCCGATCTCCGTGGCGCCCTTGGGCGACCCGCATCGTGTGCCGAGAATGCTCTCCCTCCGCTCCGGCCACGTCTGCTCCAAATCCTCCAGATCTAAATAATCAAAGTCCTCCGCCAGCTCATCGCCTTCCGCCTCCCCGTGACGCATCCCGAACGCTGCTGCGGCTTGTTGACCATGGCTCTCAGAAGACCGTTGCATTCCAGAGCCGTCTGCTTCGTCCCGCAAGGCTCCATCCGTTTGACTGCTCGCGGCCTCGCGAGGCTCCGCGCCAGAGGCGGAGGAGGAGTCTTCCGGAACGTGAAGCGTCTCAATTTCTGTTTCCCCCGTTCCGTAAATCACGGTGACGCTCTCGTCGAATCGCAGCCTAGACTTGCCATCCTTGGTGCTCGGATTACTTTCCGGCCGTGTTGCGCTATTCTCGGACGCCATTGCAGAGCCGTGGAAGAAATTGTGCGAAGAATGCCTCAAAGGCCTGAACGAATCTTGTCTCGGGGAGAAAGAACTAAGTGATATGTTCACGTAACTAGGACGCGTCGCAGTGCATCAGTTCCTGAGACCTCTAGACGTAAATATCCACCACGACGTTACTGCACTCACCTAGGGGTTGCCGAGTGGATCACAGGTTCGCGGCAAGAGAGGTGGTTGGCTGCTGGGCTTCTTGGTTGGCCCTTGTCACTGTCACTGGTTGGACGGCGATTAGTTTGGTGAACCCCCTTTCGTGCTACCCCTTCTGAACGGCTGTTTAGATATATCCCTGCCCGCCGAGAAATATAGTGAGCCCTAGTATTGAAAACCTTTGGTGTTCCGATCCGCGCGAATATAAACCTCTCTACCAGCAAAATATATGGGAAACTGCCCTGGGAAGAGCATGCGCTGTTCAGCAACGTGCCGAGTCAACCATGCCAGGCTCGAAAGAAGTTTCTACTTCCGCTGAACCAACGCAAACGAAAATATATAAGTTTGTTTCTATTACGGAAACAACGTCAGTAGTCCAATGGTTAGGATATTTGCCTTCCAAGCAAAAGATCCGGGTTCAATTCCCGGCTGACGTAGATTCCTGGTATAATCGACCTTCTTGCCCATCTAGGACACAACCTTGTTGCTCGGGAAAACTGTGGACCTACCGGCCCTGTTCGATAGGCAGCCACCTCCTTGCAGGGCTAGCGTTTGGAGGAGGGTTCGGAGAAATTTTCGAAGGGCTACCCCCCCCCCCCCCTCGAAAACGGAAGCAGCCCATCTCGAGAGCGGAAGGAGGGGGTCGTCTCGGCGATGTTGTAACCCCTCCTTCCACCATCGTCATCGTGGGCAGGGTCAAAAGTTTTACACCGCTCCCCACGTGAACCTGGGTAAATCAGGGGTGGAAAAAATGGCTGGTGGCTGGTTTGGTTGTGGGAGGAGGGGGACTTTTTTAGGGCAGAGATGGGTGAGGTTGGAGCATGGGCCCTGCTGGAAAAACTTTTGTGGGGTATTGGGTGGTGTTGGAATAACCGAAAGGTTATCATGAACATTCCCGAAGGTTATCCACTGTCGAGTCTCTTCATAGCGAAGCAAGCACTTGTGTCAGTACCGCATGAGCTCATATAGAGCACGCGGAATGTCAAGGGTCACCCGAAGGTCAACAGTCGAAGACAAGTCAACGGTCGTGACCCTTGACTGCCCAGTAACCGCACAAGGCAGTTACGAAAGTGCAACATGGTAACTGCCTAGAATGGTAATAGTCGTGGTTACTGTAGCAATGCAATTCAGTTAATAAGGGAATGTACCCCTCAGAGTACATGGCTAGCTAGGTTTGCTATTTATACCCTTGTACTTTATTTTATAATCATCTTGTTCTCTTTCAATTAACCAACAAGGTCACTACTGAGACTTCACAAGTTCTCTTTACACTTGGCAACTTTATCCTATCCACTACGATCCTGCAGTTATATCAACATGGTATGAGAGCTAGAGTGGATTATAAGGCCTGCCAAGCTCTTGTTCCTGACAGAACAATCTCTCTATAAATTATTCATTACATCGTTAAGGACTCTGCATCATTATGGCTCCAGAAGGAAAAGACACTGCAGACTCTCCGGGCCCACCATCAGCAACATCACCCACTGCACCATCAGCGATGACCTCCGTCAGCGCCGCCCTCGTTGAGCAACTGGTCGCTCGCATCAACGCCCTTGAAAGCCATCAAGCGATGAGCGTCGATGGCTCAAGCTATGCACGTGGAGTTGCTGGACTCCCTCTCCCTGGAGAAGACCGCCGCGTCAACTCCGAGAGGTCATTCACGTTTGACAATCGTCAAGCTTCAGCTCCTGCGCAAGAAAGTCAACAACGCGCACATTCAGATACAATTGCAACAATGCAGACAAAATTTGTTCTGACCTCAAAGCTGAAGACATCAGTTCCTTTCAACGGAAAGGACTTCTACACTTGGAGCTTCGAGTTTGAGCTCCTCGCGACAACTGCGCAAATCTGGATGTACTACGACGGGAGCTTACCGTTTCCAACGGAAGGCACCATCCAAGAGAAGAACCAGTATTACTACGAATCTCTTCTCGCGTACACCACCTTGCTCCGGAATCTCTCCCCCGAAGAACAGCTCGGCATTCGCTCCACCAAATCAGAGTGGGCATCCGCGTACGCCTCTTGGGAGCACCTGCGCAACTCATACATGGCAACAGATCCACTTACTATGAGTCGATTGCTCAGCCAGCTGACATCGGTCAAAATGCATCAAGGAGAGAAAGCGGGACCGTATATCAACCGATGCCGCAATCTGCGCGACCACATCAAGAAGTGCGGCGGATCCGTTCCTGACGACATGTTCGTCTCAATGGTTCTTTCTGGTCTTGGTCCCGACTGGCGTCAATGCCAATCTTTGCTTCGCGCTCGAGCAACGGTTTCCGAATCGGCTCTGTGCGCCACGCTCCTCTCCTAACAGAAGGAGATCGACCTGTACAACGAGAAGAACACAAAGCGGGAAAAGTTAGCCTTCTACGTCGGAGCACTTGAAGGGGAGCAGCACGGAAAGAAGGGGACTTTCTGCAAATGTTGCAAGAAGCCCGGCCACACTATCGACCGGTGCTACAAACGAAAGGCCGCCGATGAAAGGCGCAACAACCCTTCCAACCATCAGCCATCTGCTCCCTCGACCTCCGCCACAACAACCACAATCTCGCCTCCCTCCGTCGCAAGCACCTCGTAGACACCTGCACGCATTACGACCAAGGACAAAGGCAAAGGGACAATCATGAGCTGCATGGCTCGTCGCAACAGAGGCCATCGATACTACGATCGTGTAACATTCGCGATCGACGACCCCATCAACCCTGTTGTGCCAAGACAAGACAATGATCCCACCGTCTCTCTCTGGATTGATTCCCCACAAAGGTACCCACCTGACTTCGAGCTGCCACCACCAACGCCAGAATCACCTCCCAGCATCTCCGCGAATCGGTACTTCGCTCTCTCGCCCTACACCGGCGAGAAGGACCGCGTGGTCACACCCAAAATCGCCAACATTGCGCGCCAGAGCCGCGAAAACATCAACACCTAGTACCTGGACAGTTGCTGCGGACAACACATGGTGGGATCACCAACATTCATCAGTAACTTCAAGCGCATGCGCCGACCCTGCGAGATTACAGTCGCAAACAACGGCACGCTCAAGGCATATGACATCGGAGAAATATTTCTTGAAGCTGACGACACAAGATTCACGATTCACATCGGCGACGTGCTTGTCGCTCCATATCTGCAGTACAACCTCCTCTCCTCGGCACAGCTCATGCGATGCGGGGTTGACATCCGAAGCAACCGCCAGGACAAAACCTTCGAACTCTTCTACAACAACACTTA